ACCAAAGCGTTGCCGATTTCGATTAACTGCTCTTGGGAAACGACAGCAATGGAGCCGAAAGAAAAGTATATAACGCTGCACTCCTTTTGTTTTTCCATCCATTTCATCACTTTACCAGCAAGTCCGGTGGAACCGTCCAAATTGTCATTGGTCGGCATCAGCGGTCCAATGAATTTAAGTATTTTACCTTTCATACACGGGATGTCATGAAGCGTCTGTATGGCTCCGGGTTCCAGGTCTTCGAAGGAATTAAATAGAATCGCTTTACAGCATTTGATCGCTTCGATCCCATCCAGATTAATGATCTTGCTACTCTCCTGCATCGGTGGGTTCGTCATATCTTTCTCCTCACCGGCCGCTGCACTGCTAAAAAACGTGTCGTCGGACACAGTGGGTGTGTCCTTCGTGACACGCGTTCCTCCAGCAATGAGCATGGCCGGAAGGACGCTGACAATATACAACGGAATTCCATTGTCGCGGCACGGTTGGCACGGCGCATGATTGAAAATGTCACAAAACACCGCATCCACATGAGGTAATGGTGATCCCGCTCGGTTCAGGCTGCCGATGAAACGAGCGTAACGCGGCGCTTGATCGTACATGATGTCCATCAGAGTGCGCAGCTGGCTGAAGTTTTCGTCCAGGTTGATGGTGAGTTCATCGTCGAAGGTGTGGAAACGGATAGGTGCCGGTGGCAGGAGACCGCGTTTGCGGATGTCGTTGGCTTTGGACGCGGAGACGACGAACGTTACATCGTGGTGAGGAATGATGCGTTCGGCCACGGACAACATGGGGATGTAGTGACCGAATGCCGGGTAGCTCATCACGAGAACGTGCTTCCTCGTAGCCATAATGCAATTGTTGGCAAATGTCGCTTTTATTACAGTAATGATTGAAAGAATATTGTAGGTCTCAAGAAATTCGTGTGTATGGTAGATGTTGGAACAACTCAATAGCAAAAGCACAGCGTTTAGTACTAGACGAGTTTGGCTGTTAGTGTTAGCCAGACTGTAGAATAACAACTGTCAGTATGACTGGTATCGGCTTCTCGAAAACGCGGTGAATGGCCTACCCGTAGACGGACGAGGTACATAACACTTTGTAATAATTATGATTGTGTCTACTTTCTAGCATGTACAGTACTAAAATACGAGTAATTGTGCAATTGTCTATTCCCAGTATTGATTGTATTTGTGATTGCCGGTTAAAAATACGTGGCCTGCATATCTTATCCGGTTCAAAGTCGGTGTTACTCTGTTTGTGGCGGGGAACTACCGTTTTGGATTTTATTAGTGTTATTTAAGCGAGACCCATGGAACGATCTATAAAATTAAACACCAATTATTATTTGCCCTTTGCGAGTGAGCTGCACTGAATGCACTGCTGTACGAGTACAACAAGTTGACAACTGTGCAAGTGGCAAAATCGTTGCAATCGTTTTGATGTCACTATGTTGGCGCATGACAGCTGACAACAGCTCCCAGTGTTTAAGTAATACTGTAATTCACGAACAATAAGACCATGACAAAACATTATGCTATTATAATTTTGGTTCGGTTTGACGCTTTGGGATCCAGGCGCATGCCTGTGTGCGATTTAACTACTCGTATATCGTTTGAATAAAAAGCATGCCTTAAAATACTAATGTAGCGAAAACGAATGAGGCTATATTATAATTGGTTTTATACTTTGTTTCCGGAGAGAGCACGTATCGGAAACATAGTACAACAAGTATATCACGAAAATTCTATCTGCAGCGTTAAAGCAGCCTATTAGAAATACAGACAATTCCACAGCTGCGACGATAAATGTTTAGGATCTAAACATTCCCAGACGGAAATAACATAACACCTAAAAAAACGATTATCAAAGCATCAAATAATAGAATAAATAAGCATTACAATGTGACACAGTTGCAGCAGATTTGTTGTAACGGTCGAAAACAGTTTTAAATAGCATCCAGAATTTCAAGCAAACTTTTGGTTGAGGGGCCATTTTCTCCAACTGCTTCTCGGGCCTTTTCTCCCATATACTTCATCTCTTTCGCAAAGGCCGTTTGTTCCACGTCTCCACTTTTCCACCCAGCAACGGTCTCGATGGCATCAACGATCTCACTCGCCGGCACCGCTTTTTTATTGAGCATGCCGGTGCCCTTGACCTTTAGCCCAATCCCCACTTGCTCCACCAGCACCGCATTGAAATGCTGGTCACCGAACATCGGCCAAGCTACAATCGGCACACCAAACGAAACAGTCTCCAGTGTACTATTCCACCCACAGTGACTGACGAACAGAGCGGTTGCCTTGTGCGACAGGATGCGTTTCTGTGGCGTCCATGGAATAATAAGGTATTTAGAGTCAGGATTGAAGCTGTCAGCAGACTGGCCTTTCATGCCTTCGGGAAGGTGCACCTGCAGAAAGGGTCGCAATGACCAGACGAAAGGTCGATTCAGCGACATTAGTGCGTTCGCTATCTGCACGGTTTGTTCCTTGGAAATCACCGCGATTGATCCCAGAGAGAAATAAACCACGCTGCGCTCTTTTTGCTTGTCCATCCACTGCATGATCTTTTCGGCTAAACCGTCATTATCAACCGCTGAATCGCTCGGGGTTGTCAGGGGCCCGATGTACTTCAGGATTTTATCCTTTGTTCGCGGATTCTGCTGGAACGCTTCCAGTGCTCCGGGCTCCAGTTCCGCGAACGAATTGAACAACATCGCGCGGGCACCTTTGCAATTATGATGATGGCCAAACGCCAGAGTCTTAATGCTTTCCTGAACCGGCAAGTCAGCCGCCTTCGTTCCGTCTACCTCATCCTTAAAGAATGTCTCATCCGGCACCGTTGGTGTATCTTCTTGAATGGTGAACGCTTTCGCCATCAAAAACGTCGGTAAGACGTTGACAATATATAATGGAATGCCCTTGGCTATAATCGCGTCGCACGGAGAGTGCTGAGTGATGTCGCAGAAGATGGCATCCACAAAGGGCAATGGTGAGTTGTCGGTGTTTAACATACTGATGAAATGGTTGTAATAAGGTTTGGCGCTCTCGATAATATTAATCAAAACGCGGAGATCGGTGAAGTTCTCGTCGATCCGCTCGGATACATGGTCATCCACTGTGTGGAATCCGATGGGAGCGGGAGGCACGAGGTGGCGCTGACGAATTTCTTCCCTTCGGGTATCTGAAATTACCACAGTAACGTCATGGTGTGGGACGATGCGTTTGGCCAACTCCATCATGGCAATGTAATGGCCAAACGCCGGGAAGGCCATTGCCAAAACATGTTTACGGATCGGCATTTTCAGCTGAATATCGCGGCAACCCTGGAAAAAATATTCAACAGAGTTTTACGAGTAATGAATCTTGAAAACAATACGGAATTGATCAGTCCAGTGCAAGAGCAGCTAGCGGCACACAGCTGTCGAGTAGAATGTGGCGATCTTTGTTGTTGTGCACTACTTAGTCTATTGTGGTGTGCTATCTTATCAGCTGGTAACACAGATCGATTAGCCTACCCAGCAAATTAGCAATTACTCAATGAGCCAGGGTATTTATCATCGAATTCCGACCAATATCTTTTGAGACAGCAAAAATCGATGGTTCTGTAATTGGCGGCAAAACATCAATTCCCTTATGGTAGATGAAAAAAGTAATTGAATTTGGCGGTGCTAGGCCTAATTTCACTGGGTGCAAGACTGACGTAACACTGACTAGAGTAGTACTTATTTACCTATGAGTACTTATAATATACAGAGCCCTAAATGAAGCCAGCCAGCACAAAAATGGTTATTGAAATTTTTGAAACCTTAACACTTTAATCCTCAAGAATGCTGCTCATATGGTATTATGACATGTGCATTATACAGTATAATAAGTCTCACTTTCCAAGATCTAACTCAAAGCATGTATAGACAACATCTCCAGCCTATCTTATCTACTGTAGGTCAAGATGCCGGCATTTTGTTTACTTAAAACAATTACTTGCGGTCGAGGAAGATTCAACAGCTGCGCAGATTTGGCTAAATTATTCAACGTTTAATCAATCAACATTCCGCAGTTAATCTGTGTCAATACTCTAGTAAACGTTTGTATTGTACTTTATACCACCTCGAATTTTCACATCGTGCTCGATTTGGCATTTTAGAAGCGCGCGGATGGCCGGTGAACTGGCGACATACAGAGTATCCTGATGATGGACCACAAAATGCAACGAGAACAAAATTATCGTTCAAAAACGGCTTTTTGTTTTGTACTCGTATGTGCAACTGGAAATATTGCGTGCTAACATAGATTTTCATTTAATTGCAAGATAGAGTCAGTAAACAAAGAAATCTCTGTCGGTACTCGCACTTATATCACCCGATCTAGATTCCCTGCAGGATTTCCATCAAACTGTTAGTTGATGGTCCCTTTTCTGCAACTGCTTCTCTGGCTTTTTGTCCCATAAATTCCATTTTCTCTGCATATAATGTTCGCTTCTCCTGCCCCGCATCCCATCCAGCCACTGTCGCGATAGCTCTAGCAATCTCCTCGGCCGGAACTGCAGTCGGATTCTTCGTGCCGGTACCCTTGACCTTTATCCCGATTTGCCTCTGCTCGACCAACGCCGCATTAACATGCTGATCTCCAAACATCGGCCAAGCCACAATCGGCACACCAAACGAGACGGACTCCAGTGTACTATTCCATCCACAGTGACTGACGAACAAGACGGTTGCCTTGTGCGCTAGGATGCGCTTCTGTGGCGCCCATGGAATAATCAGATATTTTGAGTCTGAATCGAAGCTGTCAGCGGTCTGACCTTTCATAACTTCTGGGAGATGCACCTGCTGGAAAGGTCGCAGCGACCAGATAAACGGCCGGTTCAAAGATACCAGTGCGTTGGCTATCTCGACAATCTGTTCCTTGGAAAGCGTGGCGATGGAACCCAACGAAAAATAAACTACGTTGCGTTCTTTCTGCGTGTCCATCCACTGCATGACCTTATCGGCTAAACCGTCGCTGTTACTTTCCTGGTCATTTGTTGTTGCCAGCGGCCCAATAAATTTCACCATTTTGTCCTTCGTGTGTGGGTTCTGTTGGAAGGATTCGAGCCCGCCCGGTTCCAGTTCGTCGAACGAATTAAATAAAATGGCATGTGCCTTCTTGCACGCGCGAATGTTACCGAGCGCCAGGACTTTAATGCTGTTTTGCACCGGCAAATTAGCTAAGTTCGTCCCAGGTGCGTGTTCCTTGAAGAACGTATCATCCGGCACCGTTGGCGTATCCTCTTGGATGGTGAATGACTTGGCCATCAGCATTGTCGGTAAAGGGTTGACGACGTACAGCGGAATACCTTTGGTTGCACAAGGCTCGCACGCTTGGCTTAAAGTGATGTCACAGAACACGGCGTCGACATGTGGCAATGGCGAATTATCGGTATTCAAACTCTCGATGAATTTTTCATAATGGGGCTTACTTCTTTCGACAATTCGGACCAGCATACCGAGATCGGTGAAGTTCTCGTCGATCCGTTCGGATACGCCGTCGTCCACCGTATGGAAACCAATGGAAGCGGGCGGCAGGAGATGGCGCTCTCGGATGACCTTGTCCCGGGTGGCCGAAATAACCATGGTGACGTCATGATGGGGAATGATACGTTTGGCCAGCTCCAGCAGCGGAATGTAGTGACCGAAAGCTGGAAAGGCAACCGCCAGTATGTGTTTCCGGACCGGCATTTTCTTATCGAAGCGTTGTAGGGACTGTAGAACGGAGCTGCAAGAAAAAAGTGTAAAACTGTCGTAAAAATATGCACAAACCTGATAATTAACCTACCTGAAATACAAATGCTTTACATAAGAACAGCCGACTGCAAGATTGAATGTGTCAATAATTTGATTATTTAATGTTCTATGCTATCTAATCAACCAAGTGTATCAAATTGCCTGCTACTCTCGCGATACAAACTACCCTTGAGCGGTTTACCTCCCTCAAAGGATCTATCTGCTAGCTTGCATAATCGATTTTGATACAAATACGGACACGTCTCCATACAGATTAATAGTGGTACATACTGCTTTATCATTCTACGTATATTTTCCCTTCGTATAAGCGCTTACTGTTCTTGCTCGTTACCGGTATTAGTTATGACCACAAGGCGTACTTTATACTGCATCATGTTATACAGGCCCGTCTTTAAGGGGGGGGGGGCGCACTGGCGCACGCCCCCCCCCATCCAGAAACAAACTGGCGCAACTGGCGTCGGACCTTACATGTTAAAAAAGGGAAATTCGGAACTGGTGCCATTGTTCTTCCTTGGGGAGAACAATGGTGCGCCCCCCCTCCAAAAAGCTAAAGACGGGCCTGTATTGTTATGAATGTCTGGTGGATTTCATTGCACTTAAACATAGCAATTACATTCCAGTTTGTGCAAAATTCAAACTACAGTACTTATTAGTTTAGCGTGTCTAATCAGCGTATACGAGCCGATAAGGTAGAATCAAGTACTGTACGAGTACTGTACAGAGTACATTCGTAAATACGATGAATAATATTGAACTGATATCACAGCAACATAACTGTGTGAACAATGCTCAGTGCAACGGTTTTCTTCTACAGTATAACGATTCAACAAAAAAAAGAATTATTTATCGGAGGTTTCTCATGAATTAAAATTTGCAGCTAATAGCTCAACTTTAACATGCAAGATTATACGAGTAATAAACATTAAACACTGTGATGAATAATATTCCACCCGTTCCACGCGACAACCGCGAACAATTAGCAGCACGAAATATGGATACAAGTACTCAACGACCACGCGCATTTATTAATTAATTTCTTTCAATATTTCTTTCAAATTTTTAGTCGATTTCCCATCAGCGGCAATAGCAGCCATAGCCTTATTTCCGAGATCGCGCGCCACCTGCACGCATCGGTCCGTATTCCCGTTCCATCCGGCAACGTTTTCGATGGTCGCCACAATATCCTTGGCCGGGATAATCTCTTCTTTCCCTCCTGCTTTAACAAGCATACCCGCATCCAGGCGCTCCACCAAACCGGCATTGGCGATCTGGTCACCGAATCCCGGCCAGGCCACGATGGGGATCCCATTGGACAGGGACTCCAGTGTGCTGTTCCACCCGCAGTGACTTACAAAAATCGCGGTGGCCTTATGCGCCAGTACTTGCTTTTGCGGCACCCACGGCAGAATAAGGTAATTATCGGTAGTCCGCTGAATGTCGGCGGACAGCAGCTCTTGTTGGGCTGGGCGCAGTGACCAGATGAACGGCCGCTGGAGCGATAATAAAGCATCCGCGATCACGGCGATCTGTTCGGCCGAGACGGTGGCAACGGTTCCGAAAGAAAAATACACAACCGACCGGTCTTCCTTACCGTCCATCCATTTCTTTACCGACGCATCGGGGTGGTCCTCCTCCAACGGCAGCAGCGGGCCGACGAATCTGACGTTCAGGCTCTTCATCATCACCTTGAGCAAAACGGCCGCCCGGGGTTCCAACTCTTCGAATGATGAACTAATGATCTCACTCTGGTACTTCATGCTTTCATTCATATTCATCGCGAGGGTCTTAATAGACTCAGGGACTCCAGCCATTTGACCTTTGGCTTTGAAGAACTCTTCATCCGGCACCGTGACCAGCTCTTCGGTAATCATCGACCGTTGGACCATCAGCGTAATAGGAAAGCAACTGAAGCTGTAGTACGCTTTTAGGGATTGGTTCTCTTGAAGGGAGCGGAACGCGCAGTAAAACGTATTGTCGCAGACCACGGCGTCCACGGGGCGGTTGCACCCATGCGGTAGATTTCGGCAGAAATCCGGATAGAAGATCTCAGTGGATTTCATCATCTTGGCGAGCTCCTTTAGATCGCTGATGCCGTCATCCAGGGCCATGTGCATGTGGTCTTCCAGCGGGAGCAGTTGGATGGGGGCAGGTGGGAGGACGTTGCGCCGCTGTAGGTCGGGTATCCGCTCTTGGGAATAAGTGATCGTCACGTCATGGTGTTGGACGGCCTTTTTGGCGAACTCCAGCATAGGGAGGTAGTGGCCGAAAGCCGGGAAACAGATTACCAGGATGTGCTTTCGTTCACTCATTTCTCTGGCTTATGTAGCTGCGTTGCTCTTAAATCCTGAGCGTCGAAGCGGCGAATTTTGAATAAATGGCTAAATTGTGGTTATTAGAAAATTCTCCCTGCTGCCATCCAAACTGCGACCGGCTTAGATAGATCATGCATGCATGTTTGACTTCCCATGCAGCCAGAGAAACGGTATTTCTTCGCCTTTGTCTCGTATCGGAAACTTTTGACCCCAATCAACGCATTATCTTAGTTGAGCGATAAGCCCATAGTTCATAATCTGAGACTGCACGGAGACTGTGGATAATTCTCCAGATTTCTTCTAGCGTAATCTGTTCAGTCCTTACCATGGATTCTCGACTTTTCACTGGCTGCACGTGTACCATTCAAGTTTTTACACTCCTGCTCGTAAAAGTAAATTGTAATGCATAATAGCGCATAACAACAGTCTCGAAATTAGACAGTAAACTTTGGCTCTGATGTTGCGGTACTGTAATAGTTGTAAAGGTAATTATTTTTACTTTTCCGATACGGCAGCACAATTAAACCAAATTGCTTACTCATGGCCAGATAACGATAAGGATTGTGTGCTTTGAGTTTCAGTTTCTAGTATAGTTTAATTACCTAATCAGTATAAATTTTTTTTTGGATTTGTATGCTGCAGTCGTTTACAAATAAAGGCCCGTAGTATTACCTTAATGTTATACCTGCAGTCTGGAGAGTCAACTGCCAAAACTTTAACTGGATGAAAAGTTAGGAATTTTGTTTCCTCAGCGTCTTCAGAATGCCATAGGGCATAAATAAATACAATACCGCAAGCAATAAGCAAAAATATTATACTAGTTACAAGTTACAACCCAGTTGTAAGGTTTTCGAAAAATCAAATTTTGGCAGATTGCGTGAAGTTGCTTTAAGTACGATAATTTTTTTACGATATGATAATTTGCCAACACGAGGAAACGTTTGCAAACCAATTGCAAATCCAATAGGCGCACAGTAATTAAAATTCTTTCATCAGGTCCAAGAAATTTTGCGAAGATTTTCCACCCGGCGCCACTGTCGCCATAGCCTTATCGCCCATTTCTTGTGCCATCTGTACACACCGATCGGTATTACCATTCCATCCGGCCACCTTTTCAATCACCGCTGCTATTTCACTGGACGGCACAACCCGCCCGACACCTTGTACGACCATGCCCGCTCCCAGCTTCTCCACCAATGCCGCATTAGCAGGTTGGTCACTAAAACCCGGCCAGGCAACAATGGGCACTCCATACGACAGCCCCTCCATCGTACTATTCCAACCGCAATGACTCACGAACACCGCAGTGGCTCGGTGCGCCAGGACCTGTTTTTGTGGAACCCAGGGAAGAATCAGATGTGAGTCGCCGTTGCGGCTGATCTCCGATGCCAGGAGCGCTTGCTGGACAGGACGCAGCGACCAGATAAACGGCCGCTTTAGCGATAACAGCGCCTTGGCGATCTCCGCGATTTGTTCGGCGGATCCAGCGGCGATGGTCCCGAAGGAGAAGTACACCACGGACCGGTCGGGTTTGCCATCCATCCAGGTTTTAATCAATTCGTCTGGGGTGTTGTTGGCCGGTGGCAGGATAGGTCCGATAAATTTAATCTCCATGTGCGGTTTAATAGTCTTCAACGAAGCGGCCGCATCCGGTTCCAGCTCTTCAAAGGAGCTGGAGATAACGGTGTTGACGTAGTTCATGGCTTCTTTGTCCTTTAAAGCTATTGCTTTCAGGGACTCGGGGACACCCGCTCCGAAGGAACCCTTTGTGAAGTACTCCTCATCGGGAACTGTTGGAGCCGTTTCCATGGTCAACGCGCGTTTAATGCTCAGAGAAATCGGGAAAGCGCTGAAGCTGTACACCTTAACCGTTCGGTTTTCCTTCAGCGGTTTGAACGTGGCATACATGATTTCATCGGCAATAACGGCGGCTACCGGTGCGTTGCATCCCTTGGGGAGGCCGCGGCAGAAGGTTGGGTAGAAGGCTTCCGTGGATTCCATGATCTCTACAATCTGCTTCACATCCTTGACACCTTCGTCTAGTTCCAACGTCACGTGGTCGTCCAATGAAAGGAAGTTGATCGGTGCCGGCGGGAGAATACTACGGCGTTCCAGATTGACAACGGCCGATTTGGAACAGGTCATTGTGACCTCGTGGTACTGGACAATTCGTTTGGCTAGCTCCAGCATCGGCAGATAATGACCCAGTGCCGGAAAGCTGATCAGCAGAACGTGTTTGCGCTGCTCCATCGTTCAGTTAACCTTCTTAATTCGCCAGCAATAATTATGTTATGTAAATTACAGTTATGCAAATAAAAATTTATGTAATTTTTTGTCACTTCACCTCCAAATTTATACAGAGTAATACGGTCTTGTTGTGCGCAACTGTACATCAACAATCAACTGTTATTACGGAGTACTCGTAGCGAGTCGCTGTTGTTATCGCGCGAAACGGAAGCGTCGTTTATCATGAAAAATAGGCAAAAGATAAATTTCGACCTTGACCGATAAAACTATAGTTTACATTTTATAAATTATTGCATATGAGTCATCGGAATCAAAGACAGTAAAGTACTGACCGTGATACGTACTCGTACTGATAATGAGGTACCTACTCGTAGCGTTATTCCGGTTATGAGCTGTACAGATAGCAAAATACCGCTATTCAAGAATTTCAAGTGCTTGATGAATTTGATGATATACTGTAGATTGAAGACGCCTTTTACGGTTACTTGACAATAATAATACATTTTTGTGCTTAACTGAAAAAAAAATATTAAATGATGATGTGCAACATATAATGACCTAACGGTTCGTGAATGAGAAGCATTTGTGTTTTTGTATACGGTGCAACTCATCTGCAAGTAAAAACTAAGTTGTTACTACATATATATGTTAACTTTCAAACTTTCGGGCAGATATTTGTTGAGCAGAAGAAGGAGATTTTTCTGACAAAACAAAACAGAAGCGCTACTCCTATGAAGTCTTTGCACCGAAAATTCTTCTGACTAATTCAATCTAATTTTTCTGTAAATCTTGGTGATTAGACACATAAAAGCGCGTACTCCGCGAACAAAGCAGCTTAAACGTCTTTCACTATCTGCAATAAATCTTGCGTAGATTTCCCATCAGGAGCCACCGCCATCATAGCCTTGACCTTTAGCTCTTCCGCATTCTGTGCATACCGATCAGCGCTGCCGTTCCACCCCGCGACCTTTTCAATGGTCCCCACAATCTCGTCAGAGGAAACAGTGTTGCGACTTTTTATCATCAAACCGGTTTCCAGTTTCTCCACCAGCGCTGCGTTGACTAACTGATCACCAAAACTCGGCCAGGCAACAATGGGAATGCCATACGACAGTGCCTCTAGTGTACTGTTCCATCCACAATGACTGACGAACACGGCCGTGGCTTTGTGAGACAAGATATGTTTTTGCGGAACCCACGGCAAGATAAGATGATCATCCGTTGCATGAGTGATCTTTGATGGAAGTAGCTCCAACTGGGCCGGTCGAAGCGACCAAATAAAAGGCCGCTTAAGAGATAGAAGCGCCTCTGCGACTTGTGCAATCTGTTCCGCCGACATTATGGCAACAGTTCCGAAGGAAACGTAGACAACTGATCGAGCCAATTTCCGGTCCAAGAAATCAGTGACCTTATTATCTGGAACGTGTTCGTTGAAATGCAGAAGAGGTCCCACAAACTTGACATCGAGGTTTGGCTTGAATTTCTTTAACGTTTCCACCGCACCTGGTTCCAGATCTTCAAACGAGGAAAAAATCATTGTCTCCATGTGATCCATGCTTTTGTTCACCTTCATCGCTAAGACCTTCAATGATTGCGGAACACCCGCCCAACCCTTCGTAAAATATTCATTATCCGCAACAGTGGGTGTGCTGTCCGTAATCATCAAGCGTTTAAGGGTCATACTGATGGGGAATGCGTTGAAACTGTACACTTTGACCTTTACTTCTTGTAACGGGCTGAAGGTGGCATAGAATACGCTGTCGATAATGACCGCGTCTATAGGCTGATTGCAGCTTTGCGGGAGATTTCGGCAGAAATCAGGATAGAATAATTCCGTTGAATCCATGGTCTTGACGATCTGTTTGACATCGTTGACGCCCTCTTCGAAATCTGTCGTGAGTTGGTCAGCCAAGGGGAGTAGTTTGATCGGGGCAGGAGGGAGAATATGGCGCCGCTCCAGATTGGAAAGGTTGGCCTGGGAATAGGTCACGGTGATCTCGTGGTGTGCGACTAATCGCTTGGCTAACTCCAGCAGTGGGAGGTAGTGACCAAGCGCTGGGAAGCTGATCACCAGGATGTGCTTGCGCTTGTGCATGGTCAACTCCGGGTATACTAATACATGAAGAAAAATCTTCAAATGCTAAATTCTCGGTTCTGAGGCCGAAGTTTCCCCGCGTTTTATACAGGCTGGAAACCGCTCGCTCGTGAATAGGTCCTGGACCATACTCATCTTGTACGTACAAAAAGTTAAATAAATTAACAGGTTAGCCGATAAGCCAGAATTACGGACAATATCTGTCAAATACTCTGCACAGCTAGATGATAAACGAACTAGTCGGGCCGCATAATTCGTAAAGGAAAATTGTGGTATATTTTAGTTATAATTATAATAAGTCGCTAATGAATTTTACACAATTGTTGACAATAATGCGTTGATATCGTATCTTGTTACTGTTGTAATTACAACAAGCCAAATTACTCGTGCCTACCTATTCGTGCCGAACCAGCCGTACAATCAGGTGAGGAGTTTGTTTGTTTTAGTAATGAATTATGATAACGAACATACATGTGACTAAATTGAGTGTATTCAGAATATTAAGAATAGCGTTTGTGCTGAACCTGATGGCAATCTCCGAAACCGGCAGATTACCGTCCGACGTGTGAACAAAGTCGAAATCCATTCTGCCCGACAACAACCGTATCCGCTGCCAATTAGGAACTACCGGCGGCTTAGCCAGCACCCACCACCAGAAGCCGATAAGCCGTATAACATCGGATTGTACGGTATGTCCTGACTGTAGCGGACTACCGGTACGAACTGTGGGGATGCGCTTGGACTAACGCGGTCAAGCTGATTATTTACGTTCATCCAGTAAGTACACATGATTCAGTTCCAACGTATGCCTTAATTGCAGGATATATATTATGAGATAACTTTATCCAAAAGCTAAAACAAGCGCGCGGTGGTGGTTCGGTACAGAGTAGTGGTGCATGATCGACTTCAAGGTACAACGGAAACGAAAGCAACCTTGTGGTCTACTTACCTTGCTTGAGAGCAGATATTCATTACGTAAAATGTTTATGGTCTGTGAGTGTGGGCTTTGTACAGTACCAACTATACGCCTATTAAGTTTTAGCTTTTTCAATATCATCGACCAACTTTTTCGTGCTGGTGAATCGGGCATATATCAAAATAATAATAATAACAATAATTAATTAGAATTATTTTATGTATTATTTATTTCTTATTTTATTTTTGTAACGTTGTATGTGCACTGTACTTGCAATAAAATGGATTATACGCTTAATCAAACGTTTTTAACTTCGAAAAAAATTACGTAAAAGTGCTTATTGTTAAAAACGTGATCAGTACCGCAATGGACAAGTCGTAATGGCGCCTGGTGATGGATGTGTGCTGCATATAGGAGATAGCTGTGAGTCGAGTAATTTAATTTGCCGATTGAAGAACGGGCTGTTAACATTACAATTAACGAGCCCGTTGAAAATAAAAGCGCTTAAAAATAGCCCGGAACCGACACTGTATCGTCACTTAATAGGCTCGTTATATTTCATATTTGACAGTGCACTTTACCAACCAGCCGCAACCAATCGTGTAAAGTACGTTATAAGTGGGTCTACAGATACACAAACGTTAAAATAATCTATTTTGCTCTACATATGTGCGCATGCAGTGTCTATCCCGGCTGCTAGGGAATTTTTGGTGGCAATCATGCGTGGTACGCATAATCAGCGCAGCGTCGGTTTTTTCTTCTCCTTCTTACAATGTTCCCGCTTGTCAAGGCCGGGTACAGTGACAGCGATATATAAATAGCGCCTTGATAGATCATGTTTAACCATCAGCCAACAGAGCACAGTTGGGCGCAAAGGAATGTTCGCATCTTCTATTACAATCATAATATTAGCTGATCATCCACGTCATTCGTCTTCGCCCGAAACAATCCATTTCTGAAATACGGAAAGTACTCTGTATGTACGGGAAGGTGGAAATGTGTGTTTATAAATAGATTGTTAGTTTGTTTTTATTCACCAAAGGTCACGGCGAATTTGTGATCGAAGAAAACAAAAACCGGCAAAATTAACATAAGATTGTCGGTTTTTAAAAAAACTTAATGTTAATGTGCCGAATGTTCGTTCAAGGTCAACTATTTCGAAATGGCAGGATACGCATACGATGATCGGATGTACGGCGATTTTTGCTGAGTAAATCTTCCAGAGCTTCCGTTAAGAGGAGATCAAAAATCTGTAGGAAATTATTCCATTTAAAAACCGGAAATTTGCGAACAAATTACGACTGTGTGTGTATTGATTATGGAAATGTTAAGTGGTGGTCGCGTCCACATACGCCGCCACCGATCTCTTGCTAAAACACACTTATACACCCGGCATAATGTAACCACGTTGGGAAGCAGGCCCCCGACGCGCGCATCGACAAGTGGCCAGACAACCGCGCTTATCCTCCGGCACCGTATACATCCTCGTCTATGAGTACATATATATGCAAAAACATAGTCATAAACAGGAGCTTTCAGCGCAGCACGCCAATATTTAAGCAAATACTCCCTATTGTCCTTGCCAGCCAGCACTAATGCTATGATGCCAAGGTGTGGAAAGGGCTTTTTCGATATATTAGACTGTCGACGGTAATCGATTGGATATGTCGTGCATTAACAGTTAAAACAGCCGGCTGTGTACTCATGCAGCGCTTACGGGAATGGAGTGAGCTGGTGTCTATGTGTATGTGTGTGCGGATGTAATGCAGCTGAATTATCGGACTTTTTTGTGGGTGATTCGGTGCAGTTGGTGGAAGCTTTCAAGTGGTGCTTGGTTGGTCATATATTGAGACGGGCGGACGCGCGATGGGAAAAGTGTTTTCCTGGCAGTTGGGAAGATGAGATTTTGTATCCATTTCCTGAACCTCCTACGAACCGAGCCGCAACCGCGACCGCGCGGTATATCCAAGCTGCCGATTACCGGCAACCGTGTTTTTTTTATTTTGTCCGACACCTACAGTACCCGTTGGTGAAAATTTCGTTGTATATATTATGTCTGTAACATTCCATTAAATCCAGGTATATCTCTTTCTACTTATACGCCAACTTGTAACATTTTGAATTACCGTGATACTGTAGCAGTGCAACTCACTAAAACCTGCCATGACATTAATTAATTTAGGCGTCCTCAGCCGTTTGCTGTTTAGCTGGTTGCAGACTCAGCAGATCCCGCATCGCAAATTTCATTAAGAAAAAAAAATTAAAAGCCAAAACGTAATAAACAAAAGACTATTCAACAATACCAAAGTATAACAAAAAGCAACGGACGCCGCCAAACCGGAAGCTGACCGTGAACCGACCCGGCAGTCTGTCGACGGGTTTCGTCATTTGCTGTGGCAGTGCGCGTAAATATACCGGCAGTTCCATACCGCGTACCGGATATCTACGATGGCAGCGCCAGGGAATCAATGAGTAATACTAGCCGGTTTTGCGAGCGCTGTGCGTGCCGCATTAACTGCCAGTCGGCGATCTAGCAGCTGTATATTGCGCGCTGATATCCAGTCAGCTGTGCCGTTTCCGCCTGCCTGTCTCTCTTTCCCGGCCTCAGTCCGCTCAGTACGCTTGATGATTGTGGCAACACACTAACTTTTCCTCTCTCAGCAAGCGGCGAAAATTAAGCCACAAATCCCGTTTGTATCTAAGACGCGCGCGCAGCGGCAACTGATATTATTCCCTCGTGATGATGGCGCAACGCTGCAACAATGCCGACGTCTCTGTTGCTGTTTGACCTTTGCCGGCCGGTTAGCCGTTGCGTGGTGGCGGGCTCGACTATGCCATTTCCGTGTGCGACTGATTACTTATCGTGCTGTTATTTCACTGCCTGGGCGCCAAGATGAGTGCCGTGTCACTGGCCAGTCGTAAGCAGCGCCGCTCGTCCGCGCTGGCTGTGACCACGGAAACGCAACATTTACTGGAATGTATTCAGGTACGATTAAGTATAACTACTGAAACGTCTTTAGTTTTTCTTATAAATTTATTCTGCATTTTTCTTGGAATTTAAGGCTCGTAGAACGTAGAACTCGCTCGTAGAACCGCTGCATTAATTTGATTTCTAAGGTGTGTTACGTAAGTACAATTTTTTATATGCGATTATTCGAAACGGGACTAATTGTGCGCAGATCCAGTTAAGATCGGCGACAGAGACTGGCGCCGCGTGTCGTCGCTATAATCCCGGGATTATGAGTATCCCCCGCACTGATAAGATAATCCCTTGTGCGCGCGCACACCTCCCCGCGCGCACGCGGTGCGGTAATTTAATCCTGAGACATTTGTCCCGGGTGTCGATTTGTCTGTAACCGGGTGCTACTGTTGCTGGCCAGAAAGGAAGCGGCATATTTGTCAACAGCTACAATTGGCTTACAACTGCCTGACAGACCACCGCTCCACGTTAGTAAATGCCGGCTAGCAATCGGGAATAAGTGTGTATATATAAATTGATACGTATAATATAACACGGCAATTGCAACTATGCGGCATCTACGTTTACCGGCGCATTTCTTTATAATGGCTATCCCGTTTACATCCCAAATGACTTGCAGATCGTTTTCTCCCATGAGCGATCGCAGGCAGCTATCAATACATGCATATGTGTGAGAGGGCCGAAAGGGGTATATGCAGCATTTAAATATTGCCCAGCTGACTACGGGGTTCTGTTTTAATGGAAACAATTGCCAACCGGCTTTATCGATCTCTAAATATTGTGCATATATACGCGCACTTTATAATCGAACGTTAATTTTTCCCACAATCGGCGGAAATGGCGGTACATCACGCCGTCGCATAACCCGGTTCAATATTGTTTTATCTGTACATTAATAAGTTTTACAAGTAATGCCTGCGCGCAGAATTGACATTCAGATTTCAAAACTGCTCGTTACACGCCAATATTATGAACTACCTATAGCTGTTCTGTATTTCGAATAATTTTGATATTCCTTGGTATAATAATTTCCGCCAAGCAATCAGTGCCGGATTTCATCGGAAACAGTTGAGGTTATTTTTGTTTTTGCAGTGCACCGTTCAGGTTAACGATGATATTGCCCAGCTACACGATCTGCTCACGCAGCTGGGATCCGTTAAGGACAGCCCGCAGCTGCGGCGGGAAATTAATAATGTGATCAGACACTGCCTGGAAGTGGCGCGTAATGCCAAGGAGCGCTTCCTCTATATTGTGCTCAAGTAGGTAACAATGCGTTATTGTTTTACGAATATTATCAGTCAAGCCCCGTAAACATAATTTTCCACACATATAACGAACCCGACAAGTGTTTTCCAATAAAATCAAAAGTGCTGTAGATTTTTTATTTAAAATTAATAATTATGCGCTTGTGTTACAAAGCATTTGCTAATTAAAATAACTATTAAATTGTATGATATAAATACGTACGTGCGAATGCATATTTGTTTCTAGCTATTTATTTATAATACTGTGAACAAAATATTTTCAAAATAATGCACAGAAAGCGTATATCAAAGTGTTTGTTGTCTTTTGTAAAATCTGATCGCCGGCATGCCGGATAATGTCGCAGAGCGGCATCTAAAGTTTCTGTTTTGGAGGACGTGTAAGCGGGAACAGTGTGGTTGTACATGTTGCAGCTGGTGTCAGATTGCATTGACATGTAAATGACCAACTGTTATCCCGCCGACACTTTCCACACTAATAATATGTGGCGCTGTGCTACGCACCAGGCAGCGCTGGGACCACAGTGAAGATGTATTTGGCTAATGCCCTTTTATCCTTCCGCTAATCCCATATGGCTCATTAAACAATTTGCACACTGAATCAGCATAAATACAACGCCGCTAAATAGCCTGTAGCGATGTATACAGTACGCAAGCAGTGCCACTTCCGCTCACCAATTCGTGCTATGACAGTCACAAACCAAATATTTACGATAACTCCAGCAGCACTTTCCACGTATCTACTTTTGTTGATATAAGTATATAGTTTCATTTTTAGTTGAAAAGTTTTTCTCGTTAGTGTAATATATATTTTTTCTATCGTAAATTAACGGGAAAAATATTTTTCAAAATGAAATGTACAAATACAGTAACACAAAATATGTGTATAAACAACAAGGCATAGAATTAAATACTGGATATACAGAGTACATACTAATATTGTGAGTAATGAGCAGCTTGCTTCGTGTTTTTTAGCTGGTAATTTTTCGGTTCGTTCATCAGTTATTTTATTCGCCGTTGTTTTTAGTTGTCGCGATAACATGAAACTGCAGAACCAAGCCGGTCAGCAGTTGGGGATATTCGGATTCTGCCTGACGTACATGCAGGGTGAACTGCATAAGGGCCTTAATTTAATCACGAGCTTCCAGTTGAAGGACGATAATTCGCTTACCCCGGAAAGTCTCCAAAAGTACGGACTGCCACATACACTCTACAGTTTTACCCAGTATTTCCGCGCTTAGTGCACGTAATTAAGGAGAGGTTGTTTTTTTGTCGTTGCCAGTGATTTGATTGAAATTGATGGAATCCTGCACACCGTGGAAAAGCATGTACATTATATCCGTCCAAGTTCCGAAACAGGTACAGTCGAATACTAACTATTAACTTGCCGGTTGGCAAACATTTTTTAAAATACATCCGCAATTTTTGCACATTCGGTTGCTATTTTGGTCTTTTTCAAAAAGGTACATTAATGCCGGTTTTTTAATATTTATTTTATTCGTTTTGCTTTCTAAAATTACAATCTGTTAATAACTGTAACTATCAATTGCAGTTTTTTATCGATATCAATTGTCAACGCTGATGTGTTGCCACTTTGTGCGTGCATTGTGATTTGTGGTGTTCTTAATTTCGCTGTGTAACCCCTGGTAATATACAACCAACCGCTTAATAGCAGAAAAACGCCGAGCAGTTTTCTATGATAAATTATTTAAGGCAACTCGATTACGTCAGTGATTTCCGGCGGCCTGGCGTCGTGATAAGGTTTGTGTGTCGTTGATGCTGATCATCAACCGTGGGCAAGAGAAACGACTGTAGTCTCTAAACTGGGCCGGCTGGATCACTTGAAATCATAGCAGGATGTAGATTAGTTCCACCGATCGATTACACTTTATTTCCCTTCACTTTCGGCCATTTCTACTTTTTGACTTGATGAACAATTATCCCAGACGTTGCGTTTTCTTATTATGTAACACGCACGCTATCCATCGTATCCCCCGCATGCAGTGTTTGCGTATTTATACATATCTATGTTTGTAAAATTACTTGAAACTTCTCGAAAAAAGATCTATTAAAAACAAAAATTAGCAACACTACAAAAGGAATAAATTTAAAAATACTTGACCTTTTTATCGTTAAGTAGTGCATTTTAAATTTCTGCCTATTATGTTACAAACTTTATTGTTCTTGTAACTCAAAACTTTACGGCTGATGCCGGTTTTGATAATTACTACGGAAACCACAATCTGCTACAGTTTCTAACCTTTACGAATAAATAAAAAATGCATGCGTTTAACAGCGGTAACAGATAGAGCTTAACACTGGCCTTTGTATTGTAGGTTATTAACGCTTCTGTTCTTGTAACTCAAAACTTTACGGCTGATGCCGGTTTTGATAATTACTACGGAAACCACAATCTGCTACAGTTTCTAACCTTTACGAATAAATAAAAAATGCATGCGTTTAACAGCGGTAACAGATAGAGCTTAACACTGGCCTTTGTATTGTAGGTTATTAACGCTTCTGTTCTTGTAACTCAAAACTTTACGGCTGATGCCGGTTTTGATAATTACTACGGAAACCACAATCTGCTACAGTTTCTAACCTTTACGAATAAATAAAAAATGCATGCGTTTAACAGCGGTAACAGATAGAGCTTAACACTGGCCTTTGTATTGTAGGTTATTAACGCTTCGACCTTTCTTCCTAACTGCAGTCTTCCATAATCTTAACCAATGGTATGCTTGATATAACAGGACACATAGTTTTCGTCTAAATTTAGACTGATGCATCGATGGATGCTGTTATTTTGACTATTTCAATTTTGCGAGTACTACAGTTTATAATTAAGCATTCATATACGCAGAGTGCAGACGCCACTGAACATAAAATTTTGCATAAAAGGCACTCCAAATTATGCCAACAACATTCCTTAGAAAAAACGCGTCTGTCGAATACGTTGTGCTACGGTCATTATTACCTTTTCAAGCAAAAAAGGCAAACAAAAATTACACTGTTCCGGTATTTAAGAAAAAACAAATTCGCTTATAAAATGAAAAAATTACTGAATGACAAACCTATTTCGCCTACGAAACGACAAACGCTTACAAAAATATGTTGAAGAAGCCAAGTAGAATAAACCATGACGCAGATAATGCAAAACAATTCAGGGATAGTTTAACAAAAAAGCGGTGTAGTGCTTTACGATTAATTTTTAATATAAGTACTTTTTCTGTTGGAATAATACTTACGAAGTCCAAACGTATTTATCCATGCCCGCCGACAATGTATTACGTTTTGTTTTCCTTGCAGACACGCCCGAGCTTCTGCGCCGGAAGTCGGACCGCTCCCTCCAGGGGCGCAGCAGCGGCTCACTGCGTATCTCTTCCCACCAAAACCAGACGGTGCCCTTCTGCACCGGCCTGATGTGTATGCCTAAGAAGTACATCTGACCTTGCAGCCGGCAATTTCCTCCAATCAAAACCTCCACAATCCGGATCCAAATGAATAGATGCTTCTATGTATACACAGTGACCTTGGGATGGCGTGATTTTCCTCTCTTTGTCAGAAACCTTGCGATATGTTTATAATTGCCTTTTTTCTTCTCCGGTCAATCCACTACCATTACTCTCGCTCTCTTTCTTTTTGTTGTCGACACATGTACAAAGCCCAGAGTATTGAAAAGATGGATTTTTGCCAAAGCCTTTTTTTGCTGGCATATGTTCCTGGTTTAAAAGGAAATCCTGCATTGTGATATGGGGAAGAGTTCTATTCAATATTGATGGTGCATTAAGGCGTGACCTTTTAGTGGTGGCTGCAGCCTCTTTGTGAGACAGGCCAATAATGCGATGTTGAAGCATTTATCGCATGTGATTTTGGCTCCTATTGTAGCTAATCGCTAAATGCTCCACATCCTTTATCCAATAATCAAAAATCCTGGGCGACGTTTGTGCGTCATAATTCACCTGTGCTCGATCGGTATTTAACAGCACTCAACATGCAAACCAAAGGGCGGTGAAAATATGTTTTCATATTAAACTATTCTTGTCTGACATCTATTCATGATAAAGAGCAATCCAAGATGCTAGTAACACAATCCTGCAATGCCCATGCTCTGCCACGTAAATTATTACTGTACTAAATTAGTTTTAGTGCTCGTTTTGTGCGAACATTTAATATATTTATACGGCTGCTAATGTTAACTTTAGGCTATCCGAGAAAGATACTGTATTAAATTGGTACATACCATTTTGCACACAGCCGGTTTTATTTGTTGTTAATCAAACGGTTAATTAAAAAGATTGTTGATTTGGCAGATACCCAGCGTGTGTAATATGCATGCTTATGCAATACGTACAGAACATACATGTGCAAGTATACCGGATATAAAAGCATGCCGTGCAGTGCCGGTTCAAGCAATTTTGAGTGTCTTTGCTTCCTTGGTCATATGCATAAGCATCCATGTAAGTAATCAGTGTAATGCGCAACAAAAACACAATCACACGTATAAAGGGATTATCTTATCGACCAACTTTTCGGTAATCGATACCGCCATTCTTGCACCAAGTCAAAGGTCATTGGCAATCAATCTGCAATTGTGGCCCGTTTTGCAGCTTGCACGGCCAAACCGCGCAACTCTGCACATAAATTACGCAAAACGCATCAATTATCGATTCTCCATTTCCATCTTTCCCTCAACTGGTTCTCCAATTCTGCCCATATTTTTTAAACAAAGTCAGCAAAAAAAGTAAACAATGCCGGAAATTCGACGTCATATCCTGTCAGTGGCCTTTCCGGCGTTCGGGCACATTATTCCGCAGATGGAGTTTATCAAGAGGCTGGTGGAGGAGGATACCTCTTTGTTGGTGACCTTTGCCGTATCGGCGGTCAAAGTGGAGGAGACGCGACAGCGTGGTTTAATCCCAAACAGCCTGAAGGATAATATTCGGCTGTTTCCGTTAAATGACAAAATTCGCGCTGATATTGATGTGGATCCCGGAGTTAATCACAAAATGGAGATTAAAAATGGTACTTTCAAGCCCCTGCATATATAAATTTAACGCTAGTCTAGAGTAATTTTTCAAATGCAGTATGATCTAATAAAGTCTAAGTATAATAAGATTATTTTAACGCATTTATGTATCAATAATTATGGGCGCATTTATATATAACATGAACCTGTTAGTTGATCTAATTTTACCTAATTTTATACAAAAGTTTACTCGCTGGTTCTGAATGCAGTAAAATACGCAAAATTATTTCGCCGCTTCGCTAAGCGTGAACGTGTGTCGAATTGCTTGATTTATTTTGTTCGATAAAGAGCGTATGTATTTTTCTATGTGTTTATTGTTAACGAGCCATGTGGTACTGTAAATAATGTTATTGTGGTTGATTCCATTATGTAATGAGTTTACATGGCTGTAAACAGAAACAACAGAAGTTACCTGTTGCGGTATTTAATTTGGTATTAGGTAACATTTTTTAGCACGCAAATGCCAGTACTTGTAATAATGCCCAAATCTACAAAAATAAATAAACCAGAAAAGCACTGTATGTTTAGTGTACAAAGTATTGCGCATATTACTCATCTTTCTCAAGTTGCTGCGAATCCTGTGATTGTGGTGATTTGAGGATATCAGTGAGGGATGTCCAGCATAAAGCTCAACAACAGAGCGTCGACTTTGGATGTTTACAATGCGCTATGTACGCACTAGGATATAATTTTACTGTATTTATACGCATTTTGCAGGTATGGAACAGGCACTCAAATACCTATTCGATACCATCCCCACCGCCGACGTTCGCGATGTCATCGAGGTACACAAATCAGCGGATCAGCCCCTGATGAATCCCTTCTTCGAGCCCGTTCAAGCCGTCATCACGGACAGCTTCGTCGGCCTGCCGGCTAAACTGTGCAGGGCCCGTGGGATTCCCTGTTATATGTTTACCACATCCTGTGGTTTTACCGTCCCAATGTTTCTCACCATTAACGAAGAAATCCCGGTGGCCCCCGACGAGACCTACTACCTACCGGCCCCGCCCGGCAACCCCTTGCCGCTGCAGCAATCCATGAAGGATTTCCTGCTCTTTACCAAAGAAATGCTGCAGCTATCCACCGGCGTCATCGCCAACTCCTTCCGCGAGCTGGAACCGGCGGCCGTCGGGATGATCGCCGGCAACCCGGTGTTCGAGGAGCTCCCGGTGTTCTTCACCGGACCGTTGATTCCCCAGGAGAAAACCAGTGGCGAGGCAGCGGAAAAGGTCATGGAATGGCTAGACGCGCAGTCAGACCGCTCGGTGGTATGCGTTTCTTTCGGCTCCATGGTCTTCCCATCCGTGGCGCAGTTACGTGAGTTAGCCGTAGCGTTGCGCAGTCTGCAGCGGCCGTTTATCTGGTCGTTGAAGCCGGAACAACAGCGCTGTCTCCCGGACGATCTCCAGCGTCATATCGCGCAGCAGTTCCACTCCGTGGAGAAGCAACCGTTCCTGATTGCGCCGTGGATTCCGCAGACGGCGGTGCTGAAGCATTCGGCTTGCGGAGTCTTCGTCTCGCATTGTGGGTGGAATGGGACGCTGGAGGCAGTGACGGCCGGGGTTCCTCTTGTTGGATGGCCGTTGTATGGGGATCAACCTCTGAATGCCGGTTTCGTTGCAGAACGGGAAGTGGGCGTGGTGGTGCCCAATACGTCATTGCGGGGAGAAGATATTTGCGCGGCGGAGAATATTACGAAGCTTATTCAGAAAGTGGGCAACTGGGACAAAAACGGCGATGAGAAATATTACAAGAGTATTAAGCAGCTGAGTGAGGTTGCTGGGAAAGTCTGGGACAAGGAAGGAAGTTCTCGGAAAGATTTTGAAAAATTTCGCAAGCACTTGTTTGGATGATTTCGAATACCCGCAAAGGCTAATAAGTGCCTTTGGTTTTCTATGTTTTTTATTCACACTTCTTGTTTGATTTAATTGCTTCATGCGTGGCACGAAATCTTACAACGTAAAAGTTTGGAAACACACTACGTACTTGATGCTTCATAGTTCAGGATCAACATCATAGTTACAAACAGTTTGCCCCAAATATTTTTTTTAAAAACAACGAATTACAAAGAAAATTCGGCTGCACTAAACGCGTTTGAAAGTTTCGATCATTGCTTGTCCATAATTATTTTCTCAGCCACTGAAAGTAGTTCTAAAGCAAACGGACCGTTAATATAATAATAATAAAATAAAATATTATTTACTGGTACATGTAGTAAATATATCGCACACAAATCAAATGTACGCACGCTATATCTGTCGTGTACAAGTAAGTACGACATACTTCCATATATACGCAATTCAAGTACGAGTAACTGGCTGCAGAGTACAAAATTTATTACGGATTTAGTACGGATTTGCAGATTTTAGTATTGTACAGTAATGAAATCGAAAAAAATGCTTCATCTGTTATTTTGCTTGAAACTATTAAGAAATCTATTTATACTTCCTGTAAATGAATACTTCCATGCAATATGAATCAAAATAAGAATCAACTGTGAAATACATAGTCAGAACGTCGAATATCGCTGAGTGTTCCCTTATTTAGGCGCCTATTCCCTGACTATTTCCAGCCGACGCACTGCGGTGTGAATGGCAAACTGTCGGCTCCCGGGCTCCGAATAAATTCAGAACAGATGTACAGCCTATGCAAATGGGAATCACATAAGCTGTCGGGTACTGTGCTGAAAACGAAATTTTAAAGAAAATTCTGGAGGGTTGACCTTTAACAAAATGCAAGCTTACGAATAAGTTTCTTTTCCTTTGCAATATATGCGCGCACAAGTTGTATCTCGTTAAATTTTAATGGGTGGTTGATTTTAATGGGTGGTTTTTTCCGTACCTGATATTTACAATACGAGTACATGTGACCAATAATAATAATTTGCTCTAATAACACCAGCGACATCCCTCATGGTCAGTTCAAGGTAGTGTAAAATGGTGCCGAGGTATCAGTATCGTTTTCGCACTGCACGTTGCACCTTGTCTGCTTACATGCATACTTCTATCGAAGACAAACTCCCTAATAGTAAGCCGAGCGCCCAATCTGTTTACCAGTTGCTCCCACTGATACTTTTAGTTAAGTACTTGTACATACATAAACGGGACGCACAAGTAGTCCGGTTCTTGATAACCAACACGAAGTGTAACTCAACTTGTATCGCTTAGAATAAGCGCTGAGATGTGGTAATAGGTAAAACAGTGCGCGAAATCTTGTGCATTGGAGCGGTGTCTGGATTTCCCCATGAAAACGTTTGCAGATCTACATTATCTACAGTAGCAGTACTACATCTATAATTTTTGCAGCTCAACTTTCAGAATAATTTAGATCAACACTCACTCCGCCCGTGGCCTACAGAGCAAATACTGTACTTCAGATTTGAATTAAGTATCGAGCATGACAGTGTCAAAGGTGACTTTCTCTAATGATTTACCAAAGACGAGCACGGTACAAACTTTTGCGGAAATTATCGAGAATATCTGGATAACATGTCTGCAGGCGGCGGGGTTTTTTCTACCCCCACCCGACAATATGAGACATCACTTTCGCCAACTATTCTCACTGTCGTCAAACTTCTTGCAGATCCTTGCAATTGGGTATGGCAGTTATAATATGATCTGGCAAATACCACAGGGCACGTCCATGACGGTGGTTACATTGACTGTAGCCACCTCTATGGTAGACATCATCGGAGCTTTGTACTATTCCGCCATATTTTATTTTAACACTAATATGGTTCGCTGCATGCGCTGTATTAGCTCGGGAGGCGGAGTTACTGCGTTATTGACCAAAAAAGACATCGTGCAAATTTGTCTTTTCATGGGCTTTGGTCTGATGATGACGATCATTCTGTCGGTAGAGAAAATTGTTACTACCGACATTTTTGGTTTCCATAGTGCGGCTCAGTTAGATTATGAACTGGTTGCAAGCCACGTAACCTTTCACACCTACACGTATGTGTATGCTGTTTATTGCGCATGTTATCGAGCCGCTTACATCAGCTCTACGATGCTGGAAAATTTCATCGCTTCCTTTGCTTTCGCTGTAGGGAAACAATTCCAGAAGGTCACAGAGCGGCTGTCTAGAGAATTAGCTAAGCCAAATAATCTTAAAGCCATTTCGCTGCTTACTGAAGAACATCAGCGTTTGGTCAGTTTGACTAACTGCTTCGATTCGGCGGTGTCGGGAGTCAACGCCTTGTTATATACTCAGTCGCTGATCAGTTTTATACTCTGCTTTTACGGAATCACTACGCAATACAAAAGTACGAATACTGTGGATTTTTGGAGTGTTGCCACGCTGGCTGAATTATCTTATATTTTGATCATGTTTATTACCACTGTCGTCTATTTAACCGAACAAGTTAGTAAACTACAAAGTACAGACTAAATTAAGTGAATTTAGTCATATCTGGCCTTCTACAGACTGTATATTTCCAGCAGCTATTTACCGGTTTAATCCATAAAAAATCAAGATTTTCTCATTTGAAAGCAGTCACAATGGCGCATGCAACTTTAAAGGCCACTTATTAGGCAACATTACGTCGAACAATGTGCTTAGTATGGTCAGACTGGAATTACCATTACTTTTTTGTCAGGACAGATAAAGGTACTAAACATGGAATTTACATTCCTTTATTGGCAATAGCCACCAAAGATACGAAGTGCACGCGCGGTGCATGACACTAATTATAAGTTATAAGCCTTCATGACAAAAAAAAATTTAAACGTTAGGCAGTACAGTAATTCTATTAGGCGGCGTTCAAATATTTCGTGAAAGAAATGGTCCACTTTTTCGACAAAACCCAACTCTTTTGTGACCTTTATTCATGGATTGCCCATTGCCGGGTGACGCCAGCTCGAGCCAACCTCGTGGCATGTGTTTATTTGCAGGCATTCGGTATCACCAGGCTGTCGCGTAAAGGTAATAAGGCATTCAAGGAGTATGTAGCTGACCAAAGACTGCTTCCAGCCGGCCTAACAATGGCTGGTTTGCCGGTGAACCGCGAAACTGCAGTCGTGGTAAGTGGCACAGAATTAGGCTAGTTTTATCAACGGTGATGTAATTATCACGTCATAACTGCAGCCATAGCTGATTTTATTAGTGCGATAATTAACAAACAAGGTCATACCGTTTAACAAAGCGCCACGCCATGGTCAGTTTTGTTTAACATCTTCTGTTTTCAGGCAGTTGGTGCCATTTGCAGCTATGTACTGTTGTTTTCGGGGTTAGCCGACAGCGATAAGCCACCGAGCTGCAATCTGACCGCCACACAACCACCGAACCACGCTTTTTTAAATTCCTTTTGCGCCATCTGCACTTCGTTCAACGCCAGCATATCTGGCTGACTTCACGAACAGTGTCATTGCAGTTACCTTTCTGGCTTACTCCGTCTGCAAAAGCTAAACACGCTACGAAGCTTGTTATTTGGAGCGCGCTCTTTCCTTGGCCCATACCGTAGAACTGTCTACAACTTATTTTTTATTGTACAAAGTATAAACAAATTAACAAAACTCAAAAATAATTGGCAGTCAGCTGCATGAACAATAGGTACATTAGGGAGTATCTCCGCGTTTTCTGTATATGAATCTTAATCTTGGGCAGTTTGCATCGTTGTGGATTTGTCGCTTGTGGACATCATTGTTTTTCTCTGTTAAACTCCTACATCAAATGCGCACTTGTGAAATTTGTACCTGATTTCAATAGTTTCACTTCTCATGTGCAGGAAAATATTTGTCATCTGATGTCTGCTTATGGGTTGATGTCATTGTCTCTAACATAAGATCAACAGAAAGCCATATTCTGCGCATTCGGATTTTGTACTGTATTGCTATTGCTAGTTTTAAGCGTTTGAAATTATTTCGTTTAAGAAATTTGCGTGAAGTAGATCTAAAATGTCGAATAAAAAATGTGACATCCAGCCAGAACGTGAAAAATCAGTAATTTCTGACTATCGTTTTCGTTTCACTCTTCCCCGCGATTCCTTTCTAGTCGACACATTTTGATGTAAATCGCTAACGTCCGGTTCCAAAGACATTCAGAAATTGAGGAACCGTAAAGGGAAGTCACAATCAGTCACAAGCAATCGGATATTGCGGCCGGCGTAAACGAAGTTAGAAACACGTTTGGATGACCTTTAACACTCGGCAATCAAAACGGTAAACATGAGGTAGCTTTGCAGCTAGATAGTAGAGCAGTATGCTCTAGTAGTTAAAGTGGAGTGTTTAAATGACGGTCTGTAATGGAAACATATTGTTCGAAGGACGCGATTTGTCACTGGCAAGTAAGCAACGAACGGGCACTTTTGTTGTGAACGTATTTTGTTGATGAGTGGTTGATGTTTGGTGCTTGCAATTTGTTGTAATTTGTTGTAATTGACAATACTTACTTGCAATTTGCCAAATGAGACCAGCGACCAACCTCAGTTTGATGTAGTGCAAAGTACAAAATGATGTCACGATATCGCTTTCACAGTCCCTTTGCAAGAAACCGAGCTCATAATCTGTTTACCAGCAAATCCCACTGATATTAAATTTTTCTGTTACGTAAATCGGGCTCATGATGGGGGGTTTAGCCTGTGTCGCTTTGCGTAAATGGTAAATTATGGTAATAAGTACAACACCATGTGCAATCTTACGTATTTTGGAGCATTTGCTTTATAAAAATAGTACTAACACAAGCGACTGCCTAGATTCCACACGTAGAATTTTGCCAGTCGAAAACGCACGCTACTCTGCAACTCAACTTTCACATCTAGAGCATTTCAGACTAACGCTAACCCATCAACAGCCGAAGGAAATCGCTGACCTTCCAATTTGAATTCTGAATTATCCAGCATGGAAATGTCAAAGTTGTCAGTTTCTAATGATTTACCAAAGATGGTCTCGGTACAAAAGGTTGCGGAAAGGATCGAGGATATCTGGATGATAAGTCTGCAAACGGTGGGCTTTTTCCTGCCACAACCATATCAAACCGGGAGCACGAGACATCACATCCGCAAACTCTTCTCACTAATATCAAATTCTTTTCAAAGCCTAGCATTTGTATATTGCGCTTGTAACATAATCTGGCAGATACCACAGGAGATGTGATTCACGGCTGTTACATTGACTGTGGCCGCTTATACGGTGGACACCATTGGAACGTTGTACTATTTCGCCATATTTTATTTCAACACCAACTTGGTGCGCTATATGCGCTGTGTGAGCTCGGGAGGCGGAGTTATCTCTCTATTGAACCAAAAAGACATTAGGCAAATTTGCATTTTTATGGGCTTCAGCCTGATCATGATTATCGTTTTTTCGGTTGAAAACATCGTGACTTCGGACATTGCCGGTTTCTATCGTTCAGTTCAGCTGGATTATGTGCTGGTTGCACGCTATGTGACCTTTAAGACCTATACGTACGTGTATGTTGCTTATTGCGCATGTTATCGAGCTGCTTGCATCAGCGCCATGATGCTTTAAAGTTTCATCGCTTCATTTGCTTTCGCTGTGGGAAAACAATTCCGAAAGGTCACAGAACGGCTATCCAATGAACTGTCGAAGCCAAACAATTTTAAAGCGATTTCAGTGCTCACAGAGGAACATCAGCGCCTAGTCCATCTGACCAATAGCTTTGATTCGGCAGTTTCGGGAGTTAATGCAATCTTGTACGTTCAGTCGTTGATCAGCATTATACTCTGCATATACGAAATCGCTACGCAGTACAAAACTACGAATACCGTGAATCTTGGGAATGTTGCCACTCTGGCAGAGTACACTTACATTTTGATTATGTATGCTACGGCTGTCGTCTATCTAACTGAACAAGTAAGTGTAAGCCAAATTACGGAATTGATCGGCGATTTAGGGTAAAAAGCTATTTCATCGGACAAGCAAGGCAGCGATGCAAACAGTTGCGTTAACTTGCCCGCAGAGAATCCTACCTCAGCAGTTAATAGTTATGTATGAGCAGGATGTTGTACTAGTTATGTGTGAGCAATATCTTCGCTGTCTCCATGAAATGCTTCAACTTCGACAAAATGTTAACGTTGAATTATTGCTCAACCCCGAAATTCACTACAGTTTTCCCTTTTGTAAGTTTGAATTGCATTTCAGTCGCGTGTCGTGTTAGCTGAGTAAGATTCAAAAATTTAACAACCACCATGATATGAAAGCTGTCGAGTGTCGACCAAAGCAAAATTGTAACAAGTGTTTTATGTGCAGGCATCCGGCATTACCAGGCTGTCGCGTAAAGGTGATAAGGAATTCAAGGAGTACGTAGCCGACCAGAAGCAGTTTCCAGCCGGCTTATCGATGGCCGGTTTGCCGGTTAACCGCGAAGCGGTGTTCGTGGTACGTGATACGCTATTTGAGCTGTTTGCATAAACGATGGCGTAATCGTGTTTACAACCACAGTTTTAGATAGTACAGTAGTGAAACCAAAAAAGGTCACAACCTTTAGATTCACCCTCGCGCAACGGCCAGGTTTAGCAGCATCATTTTCTGTCATTTAGGCTGTCGGTGCCACTTGCAGTTATGTACTGCTGTTTTCGGAATTAGCCGACAGTGACAAGGCATCGGGCTGTAATCTGACCGCCGTACCACCACTGAACCACGTTTTCCCAAACTCTTATTGTGCCATCTGCACACATTCGTGCAATGGTAGCACATTCAGCTGATCGCACGGGACAGTGATTACAGCGACCGTACTCCGTCGTCAAGAACTGAGCATTCCACGACGCTTTCTATTTTGAGCGCACTGTTTACTTAACCCATGGTCATTCCGACAAACGCCTGTAACTGAATTTCATTGCATTAAGAGAAATAAGAAATTATTAGCCATCAAATGCCTGTACTAAAAAATAATCGTAGTGGTATTCGAGTTTATAGTTTTATACATTTTGCACTGTAGTTTCGATATACATACAGTACATCTCGCTGGCGTACGTTGCTGTTTTTCTATGTAAACTCGATACACTTTATTCTTGCTGTCCTCGCTTGTGCGAATACTTCAATGCGGTGTAGCTAAAATTAAAGCTGATTACTATAGTTTCAACTTTCATCTGCTGAAAAGAATAAAGCTGTCAGTGCTCATCACTCGTTGATTGATTACGGGAACAATATGGGTTAATATGTCGGCAGATAACCATGTCCTGCGCATTGGGATTTCATATGCCTTGTCCTGGTTTGTTTTAACTTTTGATCGTTTTGAAAATAATTTTGTTCTAGTTTCGGGCATTCCTGTGACTTTTCTCTTTTTTTTACTGACATTATTATTTGAACAGACTGTCCAGTAAACAGTACGGCGAACCACCGGTTATAAATACTTTCCTAAATTGAGGACCATGGTATTTTCGATCGGAGTCACACCCAGTCGGATAATTGCGCTTGAAACGAAGTTCCCAGCCACCTTTGGAGACATGACCTTTAACATGCTATAGTCGTATTAACAGCAAAAATAACTGCTATTTTTAAGCAACTGCATAGGTAAGCTACAATTTTTTTGTGCTGGAAGTTTCACAACTTATACTAGAAAAGTTTTATTAAGAAGAATGTGGGTGCATACAGAACTAAGAAATGTTTAAGTACCTCGTATTAGGAGAACACAGCGCAGCAGCTGTTCTGCTCTCAGAGTACTTTGCTGAGCGGATTTTAGCCATACGAATTTAGTCAACCCAGCCGCCATACATTATTAGCATCAACAAATCCCAGGCTATGATATAAGTTTCATCGTTGGCAATTTGCGATAAACAGGAAAAATATCATAGACACTGTAATCCGCCGTCAAGCCTAGAACCTGAGCTGTTATTCACTTCTTGTTTTTCCCTGTGTATGCCAGAATAGCGGTCAGTTCTGCCGAAAAATGAGATATTAACAATTATTTGTGTCCGAGATCGTGCGTCAACAGATTTTTGTACAAAGCAAGAGAAAAGCGCACACGATTCTCAGAGCGTTTTTCGTCGACCATAAGGTATTAATTTTTTCCTTTGCCAAGAACGAAAAATAAAAACTACGCAAACTACATTTATCCGGCTTGCAGAAGAACTTGTAGTTGTGACTAGCGTTTTTAGCGTGCTTCGTAGCGCTGTTTGATACTTACAGCGATCTTAACAGATGTTGGAGAAATAGCTTGTATGAAGTGCAGTACTGCTCTGCAGCGTCGTAATTGAACGGTGCCGCTACCGGCAGGAAAAATCCTTTATCGATCGATTCAAACTGACGTTCGGTACTTACCGTACTAGTATACAGCTTACGTACAAATAACTGTCGTTAGTTTTTCGTACCTCGTTCAAATTTCAACAAAGAATTTTCTAGCGCTATTTCAAAAATGTCCTTGTTTTGTACTACTTGCTGGTCAGCTTGTTGTCAATAACAGGTTCACAGGCTTCTGTAAGGAGGCAGAAACCAGCCAATGTTCAAAAGCAGCCCGGTCTGGCGTTACGGCGCCGTAGACATAAAGGATGATGACGGTTCATTTCGTCACGGTCTGATCATTGATTTATACGTCTGCCATGGTTTTTTCGTTGATTTCGACTGTCCCGGCCACCACGCTGAACTCATCCCATTCGACCGGTGTTTCGGTCAGATTGATCCCCAGCTTGCTCCACCTGGAGATGATGTGCAGATTTTACGGCGGCACTCAAGTAATGAAGCATGGCGCTGGTATCCGGCCATTAAGATCATGGGATCCTTCGATACGTTCGTCGTAGTGGAGAGTAAATGGGATGGAAAAATTGTTAGGGAAGTGGTCAGCTTAAAACATGGGTGTATTATGCCGGCAGGCCAACGTCATCCGTTGCAGCAGGAGCAATACCGTAAGCACCATTTGACACTGGGTTGGATAATTCAACTTCTTGTCGAGATACCGAGTGAGCAAGATTTTCGGTGGTGGAATCGCGAACACGAAGATAAAAGGAGGATACTGGTGAAGGTTGAGAGAGGAAAACTGATCCATATTTCTAGCTTCTACACTGATTCAGGATGGACCTTTTGGCAACTGGTACATCATTTAAATTTGAGCAAACACTTTATCAAGAGTTAAGACCGAAAGCTTCCTGTCCGAGTTAAATAAATTCCTAATTAATTAAAAGCAATCGTTTGAAAACAGCTAACCCGTAGCTTCGAAAAAATACAAAGTTATGACAAACGACCAACTGACTAAGAGTTGTGCTTTTCAGTTGGTCGTTTGTCGTTTTGTGCGGCTTTTGATACGCCTTCTAGCAATATTTTTTTAATTTAAATGGTTCTATGGATTTGGTGGATTCCCGCGGTATTATGCGTTTTTGTTTATAGATTCTACAGATCCAGTGCAACAAAATATTTAGCCACTGCAGCCTTTTTTAACATTTTTTTAAATATCTTTTTGGTTATTTTGCCTTTTTTGGCACTTATTACTTAAAATAGAATCCTGCGAAGAACAATGAGTTTAGTTTTGTGCCCCTCGTTCGCTAATTCAATTATTAGCGAAATGAGCAACATTTCCACAAATAAGCGGTGAACAGAATTCGAGTACGTACTCCAAGTCTTCGACATCTAATAAGCTAATTAACTTGTTTTTAGGTGAAAATGTTCCGCATTATGACTAAACGAATAACATATAAAGATTTGCGTAGCAAGAAAAATCCTCCGGCTCGATGCTGTAGCAGCAACCAGCGTTGGTCTTCCAAGTTTCTTCAGGTATTGTAATCAGAGAGCAAGTTAAAATTAATATATAGAATATTCAATAATTAAAAATTTCACTAGCATGATTTTTCCGTTTAGGCTCCCAAGTCCGCAGCACTATACGACTGCCGATCATTTATCAACACCGTTGTACCAGTAGAAGTGCTACGCCGAATATTTTCCTTTTTGGAATTCCGGGAACAACTTCGCTGCCGCACAGTGTGTAAATCCTGGCATACTATTTTAACAACCCCTCCCACATGTTCCCGGATGGAATTCAGCCTTCAGAAATACGAGAACGACGAACTAGCCCTGATCGTCGATAGAAACACCAGTCCTGCCACTGGAACAATCGTATTATCGGGCGATTCCTGCCGTTGGAACTACATGTACCGATATTACACTCGTTCCACTGAGCCCATAGCGATGATTATTGGCTTATTGAAAGCAAAACACATTAAACTACGCACAATTATCATTTCGCATTGGTATGCATCGGCAGCGAATGTCTTCGAGTTCTCTAACTCACTATCGCTGCAGCTTCAATCGGACTGGAGAGATGTATGTGAACGACTGGTTTTGGAGAATGTGGATGTTGGTGGATGGATGTCTATAGGCATCGAACCGGGCAGTTCCAACTGGGAAGTTTCCAACAAGCGTTATTATGACTCGTTCCAGTTCTCGCGTACCCCGGTGACCTTTGACAAATGCGTCATTAACACGCACGAAAAAGAACTGACACACTCTGTGCGCGAATTACTAAAGACAAATTGTCGGTCGATGGAAGATATTCGGGCGCTACAAAGTCAACTGGACACACATCCTTCACCAAAAGCACTAGCGTATTACAGGTAAAAGACGACGACATAACAAAAACGCCCATTTCGGCTGTGCGTATTTGCTTGTGGTGTCACATTTAAAACGTTAGTACAGCGAAATCTTTCGCGTTACTACCGGTACGAGTACAGATATAACCGATTATGAGACTCAGCGCAATAACGGCTTCAGCTCCTTTCTTGCTGCAGGTACTGAAGCGATGGCAAGCCGGTGATTCCTGTTTTACGAGGCGATGAATAGTCTTGTGGTATTTGTAGCCTTGTTATCCTTGTAAAAGCAGCGGAAATCTGATCTTATTAGCGCTTCAGCGGCAGTGATCGTTATCATCAAGTCAGAATCCCAGGGTCACAAAATTTTGTGAACGTCTCACTGGATAGATTTAAATTACCGGGATGGGATTATATTGCAGGGGAGTGATGTACTAGTTTTTGTACCAATATTGTGCTGTCATGGGCTAATGAATTTTGCATAAATTGTTCAAGTGCATTCTACGATGCTTAAAACAACTAAATGGATTGGAACTATAGTAAACACAATACAGTAGCTGTTCTCATCGATATTGGTATGCGGGAAAAAAATGCGCTACCCGGTATACATACTGTACAAAACCCAGGTTTGCAGAAATTTTATTTTGGTGTGTTTCTCATTAATTTTTCGAACATTCACTCTGTATAATTGCAACACAAAATAGCTTACTACTCAATTGCCTACAATCTACCGATACTGTCCACTTCAAAATACCGGAAATGCAACACACAAGGAACAACCAAAAAGCATAACGTTTGCAATTTCTCAGCCAGCAAAAAGTTCAAGGAACAGCTGAAAATCGGTTGTCGAGTTGCCGCCGTCCATCCAGGCTTTCCCACTAATTTCTTTCCACTCAGTACATTTCCGCGCAAACGGCGAAACACCATCAACCGCGTCCCAGCCGGCAGCTTTGCTGATCCACGCCTCAATCTCCTTCGACGGCACAACACGAGCGTCCGGTCCGAGTTTTGTATTGGGCACCGTCACGCCCACACCGATACTCTCCACCCACGCTGCATTGTCATGCTGATCGGCAAATCCCGGCCACGCGACCATGGGGACACCGCCCATTAGACCCTCCACTGTGCTGTTCCATCCAGCGTGAGTGACAAAGACAGCGACAGACGGATGCTGCAGAATCAGTTTCTGCGGCACCCACGGCAAAATTAAGTGGCCACCGTCATCCGGCTGCCTGTCCGCTGGTAAATACTGATGCAGCGGCTCGGCCAGTGACCAGATATACGGCCGCTGCAATGCGGTCAGCGCGTGGTGGATTTCGGCTATCTGAGCGGGCGCGGCTCGGACCACGGTCCCGAATGCAAAATAAATAACCGACCGCTGTGGATGACTATCCAAAAATGTTTTCACCGTCTGCTCCAAGGGAGTTACAGCTTTCTGTGCAGTTTCTAATGGGAAAAGTGGCCCCACGTAAAACGTTGGAAGGGTTTCCTGTCGTGGTGGAACGCTTTCTCGAAAATTGTTGACAATGCGCCCGGCGAGGAATTGCTCGGAATGCTGTTTCTGCTGCAACCAGACGCCAATGTCCGCTTGTTCTTGTGGTGGACGAGTGTGTAGTCTGTCCGCGCGATTACGAATGTTGGAAGAGGGAATAAACTCAAAGCATGGCACGCCGCGCTTGTGACTATGTTCCGGCACGAAACCGGTTAAGAACTGGTCGAAAATAACAGCATCCACTGGGAGCAGTTCACTAATTCCAAGTTTCGGCAGTTCTTCACCCACCGGTTCCGACGATGCCACGTGGGATAAGGGCATACTTTTCAGCAGAGTTACAACGCTTGGCTTCATTATGTCCATGGCTACCAATATTCTTCCAAACCCCGAAACATGCGAAAGTTTTTCTAGCTCATCAGGCATCCCATCTTCAAGTGTTATCACGTGCGCAGATGCGGATTGTTTTTACAATTAATGATATTCCGCTCTGTCAGTTTAGGAACGAAGGATTTGGAAATCACAAAAGTAACGTCATGGTAAGCGCTGATGCGGTGCGCTAGCTCGAATAGTGGAATAATATGACCCATTGCCGGTGCGTTGAACATGAGAAAATTCTTCCTCGCCATGTTTTATCAACTATAGTTGAAAACGCTTCGGTACGCTATCTAAAGTGAGCTGATTGGTGAAGTAAACTTTGTAAAATTGAGCTGTATATGCTACTTATAGCAGAATGTTTCACTTGTAACAGGAACTGTATTAATAGACTTGCAATAGCAACGAGGTTTATGACAATATAATCGGCGAATAGAACTATGACCTAGCGATTTTTGTTCCGGTAAAGATGTTCAAAGCTTCAAAATAATTATGCATGCAACTAAATCGGGCCTGTTTACACCTAATCACATGGTTGCCTTTAACAGGCTGTATATGCAGATAGACAACGTGTGCCTATGGTGCTTCGGACCATCCAAGGCCTACACAAATAGCAAACTGCAACCTGTTTTTTTGTCGTTATGTACTGCATGTTTGTCGCTGCTGCATAAGCCGTTATAATCTACTGACAAGCGCAATGTCGCACATATCTGTGTAAAACTATTCAGATTACTTGTTGGAATATATATAGTGGAGAAGAGAACAAATACTCCACCGGTTTTTCCTTTCAACGGAAATTTGATTGATCTGAAAGCATTGCATGTATGCACCGCTTTTAATTAGCGCTACAGAACCGTATACTAACGTTTGCAGACGCCGCTATTAAATCCATTTATATTTCGTGCACCAATACCAGTGTACTCGCTTTATTTTGTTTAGTAATTAGTTCAGTTAGATGTGTTCCCATTCACTTGACGGAGATGCATAAAAAGAGATTCACTCACGTAATTTTTAATATACAATGTTTAATTCACTCAAATAATTTCGCAAAAATTTCCTCCTATCCAAATATTTGATGTACAGTATAACTAATTATACTGTACATCAAATATTTGGATTATTTTTACGCAGATGAAGTACGTGCTCCATTTGCGCAAAAATGACCTTCTAGTTCCAACCTACGCAATTTCTTCAGAAATTTGTCCCGGAATGATCAAAGTCGGCATTTTAGATCTTACGACGGCACCTTTCGACATCCTCTGTAACGACACATAAAATTGCCAGATACGGGCATTTAATTTCGTAAATTTAACTTCAAATTTTGTTTTTCAACAACTTTTACAAGTTATATATGCAGCCTCTAAGTTAAGTAATTTTTGTATGCTAGATATTGTTTCCACAACTTTCAACAAAGATGGACAAATTATATATCTGTTTGTCGATCAGATTTCCATGATGACCCTTCGTAAGTACTGTATTTAAAGCCATGTTCAGTCCCAGCAATTAGCTACCTTTGTTAAAATCACGTTGTACGAGAAGATGCTATTATTATGTATATTGCATGCTTTAAAAATTTAGCGCAGGAAGGTGATGCCACAGCTTGCGTCGGATTGGACACTTGTGGCTGCTACAGGAACTGGTTTTTGGCGTACGCCAGTTGGGATAAAATGCAGGCTGGAGATCCCTGGTGCTGTTACTGCTGTACTCAGAAGCTGGGCGCGGCAGGTGGTCTGCAACAATGGGCGAGCTGTAGTGTAGATCATGAGTGTCATCTGGAGATGACCTGCGGAGACGGCCAACGTTACACCGGAACTTCATAACTGGATCGGGCTCATGGTACTGTCTGTACTCTGTAGCTGTTCCATATTATTTAGTTATAACTTGTATGTTGTTATCCTGATGGAAGCCAAATAATTCCCATAGTTTTGAAAGATTCTCCATGGTAGCCCGGTTCAGGGGCGTCACAGGTCTGGCAAAATGGGGGTGTCAAATTTTGACAGGGGGGCAAACTCAATATGAAAAATCAAAAAAATTGACGGGGGGCAAACGGTTTTCTGAAGTCAAAGTAATTTGACAGGGGTGTCAAATGACAATTTTTTAAATTGAACATTGATTTTTTGAGGCGAGGTTTACCTGAGAAAAATTTCAGATCTACCGGTTATGCTTAAGAATTTCTCTTATTAATAAATAAATTCAAAGCGCAGTGATGTTACATGTCACCGCCCGGCGCCCCTATATTCATATTATTGTATACTATTCATATTGCATACTATTCATATTGCAATACGCTAACGCAATATCCGTTCAGCTGTTGCCTATTCGTATAATACTATAATATATTATTATATATATCAATCAGGAAAGTTTCATATTTTTTGTAGAAGCCGAAGCGTAATATAGAGTAGCTGACCATGAGTAGCACCATAATACGAGCACCTCGTACCATGAGTAGCACCTCGTACGATTATGCCCTGTTTACTGTTGATTTATAAATTATTAGACCATGTGCGTTGGTTACTTGTATGGCCGACAAGTAAGGATCCATCTATACAAGTTACGTCATGACCGAACCCACACCGCGGCGATTCGCTGCCGCGCAAATTAGATGTATGCGTGTGTGAAGGCGGTGCCAAAAATCCATCCACGTAAGGCCCTTACGTGTATGCCTGTAACTCCACCTCTTTGCATGCATACATACAAGTAGCCGATCCAGCTGCCAGTCAACCTCGAAATTTCAAACGCTCGTTTTTTCGTTTGCTTCTCAACGGATCTTCCCAGTCGACATATCAGAAGATGGAAAATTCAATTTAAAACTTTTGGTATTTTGCAGAGTGGATATTTATGGCGAATCAAGAAAGTTATGACTGTTTTGGTTTCTCGTAGACTTAACATAGGATGCAAGCCACCGCCTCCTTTCACGGGCCTATGCTAAGTCTACGAGAAACCAAAACGGCCATAACTTTCTTGATTCGCCATAAATATCTACTTGCTAGATACCAAAAGTTTTAAATTTAATTCTTCATCTTCTGATATGTCGATTGGGAAGATCCGTTGAGAGATGTACGAAAGAGAAGTTTTCAAAATTTTGGAGATCAACGGGCAGTCAGATTGGCCACTTGTATATGTACATGCGAGGCAGCTGGCACCTACACGCGTGCCGCACACCAGCTCGCTCAAACACGTTACGACCCATACATACAAGCCAGTTTTCAGGCGGTTCTAACGTTAGTTGTATGTATGCATGCGTAACTTGTACACATACAAGTTGCAGCGCTAATGCACTATTAATTACACTGGCAAAAGACGACGACACACTAGAAAATCCTTTCGGTAGCAGACTAATAGCAGTAAGCAGGTAGCTGCAGTTTAGTGCGGTATTGCAACAGTGCGTATTGCATACTGCGGCACTGCCAGTCTGCCACTGTCTTTGCATTCTGGATTTTACTTTTCTCAAAATTTTACTGTACATTTTAGTTTTTTTGGTACGTAAATGCATTAAACATTAAAGTGATTAAATGTTCACGAGAAATCGACTTAAATCTGTCCTTTCTTGTGATTGTTTACTGATTAATAAGGCCTCGTCCCGCATTCGCAGCGAAGATTGTTGCGATATAGCAACTCCACCTCGCGAGGTGGCTTCGCGTACCGTATCTGTAGGAGTGGCCACTGGATACAGCTACCTCGTACGGTTGAGCAACCGTACCATAACGAGATCGCTTCGAATTCGAGACGACGCCTAAAAGTTTCAGTAGATCTGAGCACGGTTGTTTCCTAGTCGTACTGTAAATTTGTAAATTTCTTATCGTAATTTAGAAAATTAAATAGCAGCAGCTCAAGCAAAATGATTTGACAGGGGAGTCAAAACTTGACAGGGGGGCAACTGGCTTCCAGAACCTGTAAAAAATTGACGGGGGGCAACCGGTTTCGAAAAACAGGGGGAGTCAAACTCCGAAAATTTGCCGGTTGACACCCCCCCTTTGACGCCCTTGGCCCGGTTAGAATCAGGAAACTTTTCGAAACAAAATTGGTGCAGTTTGATTACAGTAAGTACTAGTCTGTGTGTATAGGCTGTACACCCGCTATCGATCGAATTGTCTAATACGAGTCCAGTTGGAATCATCCAGCGCAAGCCACAAAGTAACGTAACAGAAATCAGCGCAGCATTAATATTTCTCGCACTGTACTAATTTACAGTTTTCGCGTGCCCTGTACTGTACTAAATTTTTTAAGTTAATTATTACAGCGCTAAAGATGGTTCCGTGTGTGACGGTGCTAATAGTACCGTTCTATATAATAACCGTCTTACATAATTAATTAATCACTAATGGTAGGGATTGACCTTTATGTAATCAACTAACAAAAGTCTGATACGACAGTATCCTGCTATCGTACTGACCAGTGCAACTTGACCTTTTATGAACTCGACCTTTTATGCCATACCGCCTGAATACGAGGTATGTCGATTAAAGAAGTTCTACGGAAAGTTGACGCTGCAAATAACCTTCTACATTTACTGAAAGAAAGCCGGTGACGCTATACATGCCCACATGGATGCCAAAAAACCATCGAATCATTCAAATTATACGAGATACTGCTAGATGCTCCTTTTGCTGGTGCAAACCCGTGAAACCGAGAAACCGTAACTAGAGAAAGGATGGAGTCCTAACGCCGTCGCGCTGGGAAATGACATTTATACCATCCTGAATTCTGATTGTGCAAAAAGCGTTAATTAATCTTTGCGAATAACATCAATAAATTCTGTAAAATTAATAAGAATTGTGGTTACAATGAAAACTTTTCATCTCCATATGACATTGTTATTACTCAGCCAGATAAGCGGTAAATTATTAGTTTCATGATGTAATTAAAAAGATTCGAAACGTGCCTTACACATTTGATGTACAGCTTGCGCAAAGAACGTTCTGTAGCTTGTTTACTGGATGTTACATCCCGTAGACCGCGATTGTACCTTTGTTATCGTGCATAACCAGTCAATTCACGCTATGTTTTATAATAACATAAACAAAAAGAGACATACAGATACGGGTATGCAAAACTCCCTCTTATAGGTTGTACTTTACTACAGTGCAACATTGTGTCAACGTAGATAACCCTTTTCCACTGCCGACTCGCGATCGTGTATAAGTTTGTTTTCTACGTAAATGCTTAGGTACATGTGATGGCACGCTGGTATAGTGCTCACAGCAATTGCAAAATGTATTGTGCACCAGAATTTTCCGCTGCGCTAAGTAAATGAGTTTATGCACTTAATTAAAATACGTCAGCTGCTGCAGCTTTTATTTTTCAGTTATAAATACTGTAATGCAATCTCCGTGAACAGTTATAAAATTTATTACTTTTATGCAATCTCCGTGAACGATGTGAATCGTACATATCTGTACAGTACTGTAGTAATAAAAGGTCAACCGTAGTTACTTTTTTATAATACAGTATTACTCACGGTCAGTCGCTCCAAACTTCAAAGATCGTTACTAGGTGTCAGTATTACACCCAGTACTAGTACAGTATCTTACAAACGGAAACTTCGTCATAATATATAGAACGATCTAAATCAGTTATTTGTAAAATGAGAACGCACCGCGTTATGAGCCAATCGTGCAGTAAAAGCCCCCAACTCAAATGTCAAACTTTTTATTTCCATAAGCGTCCATTATTCCAAAATAGTTCTCACAGTCGTTACCCGGATTGGTGACCTTATTGAAATCCTGGAAATAGTACACCTTCTCCGAGTGACTCCTGCTCCAGTCCCGCATCTTCTGGAAATAGCTCCTAATCTGATCGACACTGCGCGGCTGACTGGACCCATTGCACGTACTCCCGCCCGACGGCCATCCCGTCTCCGTAATCTCGATGCGCTTCCCGGGGAATTTATTCTTGACACTCTGCAACTGGCTGTCAAACACTGGGACCGGATCCGCTGGATTCGTGCCGGCATTGAAGAACGGATACAAATTCGCCCCGATCACATCACAGGCATTAACCAGCCGCTTTACATCCTCCCGTCCCGATACCCACTCCGTGTAGCGCTGCACCGTCCCAACCGGCACCGACACGCCCTGTTGACTGAGCTTCTGCTTCATCTTGTTAATGTAGCCAATCAGGCTGTCGACCGAGAAACCGCCCACCGGAGGGATGTTCTCATTGCCGACGTAGATGGCTTTGATCAGTCCGGGGTAGCGCTTGGCGGCCGCTGCGGCGGTGTTGATCTGGGCGTCGATCCAGTCGGCGTGGTCGGGGTACATGTAGATACCCAGTGCCGCGGTGACCCCGCCCTGTTCGTTGAGGATGTCGGCAATGGACTGGCCGAAGTATTCGGCATAGTACGTGCGGATGGAGTTGAAGCCCAGGGATTTGATCTTTTTGATGTCCTCGGTTAGGACGCTGCGGATGGTGGCGGCGCTGCCGTAGTTGGGGTGGTGGAAGGGACTGTAGCAGATGCCCAATTGTCCCACACCTGTTGGCAACATTTTTTACCTTAAATGTGGTATACTCGAGGCTAAAGAATGATCAGTTTACGGTTTTCCCTTGGCTTGATTCCGTCTTCAGCAGTTTAATACGAGTATCAAGGCGTAGCCACACTGCGCGCGGACGTGTACATACGCTTCCTTGCGCGCAGTTACCGTACGTAATGCCCACGAAGCGATCCTTTATATTATCACAGAAACGACCCAAAATGATTGACATATCGCTGTCCATCATTACGCACTCAAATATACTTCAACCCCATCCCCTAAATTCTAAATTTTTATTTTTTACATACCGCTTCCTCCGGGATTTCCTCCTGATCCATCAAGGATCCCGATGGAAGTGCCGGCAGCATCGACAATCGGCCCGCTAGCGGATTTCAACCAGCAGGTTCCACCCTGATAACTGTTCCATGCATAAGCTTTACAACCCGATGTCTCGCGACACAACTGACAACAATCCGATTCCCGTCGCCCACTAACATCCCGGATGGCCTGTCCGCCATGGATATCTTTGTTCGACTGCTTTTGACAACCAGCCGCATCAACTACAAAACACGAAATCCTCAAAATCTGTGTGCTTATATATGCATGTCCGAGAGAATCGCAGTTTCACAGAAAAAACATATTAGTTCGCTGCTTACCGTATTTGACCGCTAGGACACATGCCAAAGCCAACCACATAAGTTTCGGCCGCATTTTCACAGACAACTACAACATGTACAGCAATAATTATTTAAAGCCAAAAATAGCCGATGCTTTTGCCAATATTAATATTAGACATCAATTACGACCAGTTAAATAAATGCGCTGTAAACATGCAAAGTGACAACAACTGTCGATTCCCGTTAAACCGTGTAATATTAAGACCATTTATTTATCGGTACCTGTGCAGTTGCATAAGGTACAAAATGAGTCGGCTTCCTGTCCGGTTTGTTACCGGATACAGTATTTGATATCGGTACGATACGACGAATACCGTTAAACGCGTTGATTAACCGTATTGCATTGTATGGCCCAGTCATAACATAAAAACATAATTATTGTACTATCCTACACACACTTGACGATCGACCGCAACTGCCCTGGACTTCGAACCCGGTAAAATCCTTCTTGCGTGTGTTTGCATTATAACACAACACACGCGTAAAAGGCTTCACGTTCCAGGCATTGTGCTTTATCGACGCGGTTACTCACGTAGCACGAGCATCATCAAAATTGTTTTACCTGGTAAGCACGAACTAGGTAGCGTACATAAGCGTTTTAGCGGCAATTAATCGATTTTACAGTTAAACAACAAGTCCACGAGACCCGGACGAAGGGGCTGAATCAGCACAATCTTCTGCAGTCAAGTGTCGGCCGGGGTAAATAATGAAATTTTTAACAAATGGAATTTACATTTATGCCTGGATGTAATTATCTGTACTCTCATTCATAATGTCAGCAGTTTAAAACACTTTTTTTGACTTGTTTAACAGAATTTCATGCCCGGTTTCAGTGCCACAATTAGCTACTTTTATTTTAATTGTGTAAGTATAATTTAATTGTGCCCCTGTCAGTGCGGCTAAGTAAGTTACATCAGCTACTTATTGCAGTCAAAAACAATCACTCGCACTGAAAGTCAATGCCGCTCAAGGCGTATAATTTGACAGCTTGGACACGATCCTAATGGTGGCAATGAAAAAAAGCCGCCGTTGCCGCGAAAGTAATAGACTAATAAATTTTTGTGATTATTGCATATATACTCGTGTCGGTGAAATAATAGGTAATTTTGGGCGTGAGTAATACGACATTTTTATTACTCAGCTACAAGTAGGTTAGCGTACTTACTTCAACTACTGTACTTCTATAGATAGAAGTATACAATCTGCAAGCTGCATATTGTCATTAAGAAAATGCTGAAGTAGGTTACACATTTAGTGTCTAGGATGCGAAAGGAACGTTTTTTGGCTTGTGACGTCAAGAAAACCACAGCTTTATTATCATTGTTACTTGTTGAGTAAATTACCATTACATGCTATACAGCCTATGCTCTAACACAGGTATTGTATATCTGTACACGTTATGTGCCAGTGACACATTGTAAAATGATTACTATAAATATTAGGTGTACATATTATGTAGTGACAGCGTATAGTATAAAAGGCGTTCTTATTGTAATTTTTTTTACGGCGGCTGTGACGTTTGCTAATATGAAAGCGTCATAGTCAAAAAACTTAGTTTTTCGAGTACTATGACTATTGTACGCACCCAGAACTTAAGAAATGAAATGAGTTCCGTCATAAATTAATTTCTATAACTCTCCTTAGTCGCAATCAAGCTGTACAAACGCTGTGACAGAAAACGTTCTATAAAGTGTAAGCGTGTGCAGCAACAATATCTGGAATTAAGTACGGCAAAGCAAATCATACGCGCGAATGACGTAGCTTATCAATTCGTATAAAATGTTTGCAATATTGTTAAGACATTTAAGTCAGGCGCAGCAATATGAATACGATAGTATCTGTACAAAACCTCAGGCCCCAGCTGGGCGTAGTGCTAACAATAAAGTGAGATTATTTCCATCTTCTTCTGTGACTTTTCCGTTTTGAAGTTAAAAAATGTCAATAAAGTTTCTACATTTATTGTAAAAATAATATGGCTTGGAATTTGCGTTGTGCATGTAGACAACAAGTTAATATGATACCGAATGATGTAAAGGTCACTTTGGCTGTCATGTTAATGTCACCTACCTAGTTTTACCAATCAAACTCTTATAATTATAGTAAACGCATAAGCAAATAATTTTTTTCATGGAACAGAAAAATTTATCAATGAATTGCCAAGATAGTTTGTGAAAGCAAAACCTTGAAGTCCGAGAAAGCACCAGCTTTGTCATCGGTCATACAGACGCACGCTTATAACATTTCGCCCAGGGTCGTTTGTTTTAACAAAAACATTTTACAAGAAAAACTTCCACGGCTGACTCATAGCGTTCAGTACCGATGAGACAAGCTCTTACACTGTCCAAAAGACAATTTCTGTCTTGATTGGCCCGCCTGCAACCCGCAGGCGACATGTGCTGATTACAGGGCAAAAAGCGAAAAATCCGTCGGAAATATAAGAAAAATAAACACCCCATACAAACCAACCACAAAATAGTCACAAAATCAATATGTTGACGAAGCGGTAGCTGCGAGTTTTTTGTTAATGAGTCTTAATCCGAAGCAGCCACAATGACGGTAACAACAATGACCTTTAAGAAAAAGCACGTCCTGTTGGTCCCGTACCCGGCATTCGGGCACGTCACACCCTTATTGGAGCTGGGTAAGAAGCTGGTGGAATCCCATCATGTCACGTTTCTCGTGTCCGACTGTAAAATCGCCTCCATTCGCCGAAAGGAGATAATGCTGCACCAGGATGATTCCGATTCCTCGGTGAAATTACTGGGTTTAATGGACGGTTTAACCGATGAGGACGATAAGAATTTGACGCCGGCTCGGTTTATGAGCAATCTGAAGCGTGCCGGCACCGTGATGCGACAGATCTACCGAACTATGCCAGTGGGGTCGAAGGACAATCAGAAATGCGACTACCAATCCCAATTGTTTACGGGGACCATGGAATGGCCGGTGGATACGGTGATCAGTGATCTGGTGATGGGCGCGTATGCCGTGGCGTGTTTTGACCGCGGCGTGCCCTTCCACATCTTCAATCCTAGTCCGGGAATTATTTTGTTGAAACTCCTGGAGGTTGGAAGAAAGTACACCGTGTCTGAGTGATGAAGAGTTCTGCAAGCGTCATGATTTCGGCTCGGCCGAAGGTGTCCAAGCCATCTTCAAGGAAAACACTTTAGCGTACCTTAACGCAATTTCCGTGGCGCAGTCGGTCTTGATCAACTCCGTCACCGAATTCGAGCCCAACACCACCAAGACCATCGAAAAGCACCCGTTTGTCCTAGGCAAACCGGTCCGCTTCGTGGCACCCCTGTTCCCGGAAGCCGACACCGGGAAGAACGCCAAACAGCCGTTAAGCAATAAGGTCACCCTCAGCCAGATCCGGCAGTGGCTTAACAACCGCACCGACAATACGGTGACATACGTGTCCTTTGGCTCCATGGCCATTCCGTCGCAGGACCAAATCCGGGAGATCGCCAAAGCCCTGATGACCCTGCAGCGGCCGTTCATCTGGTCGCTGAAGACCGCGGAACAGGAGTACCTCCCGGAGGAACTCCTAGCCAATATGGAGAACCAGTTTGAATGCGATCTCAAGTATATTATCGTGCCGTGGGTCCCGCAGAAGATGGTTTTGAAACACCCCGCCACCCGCTTATTTATTTCGCATTGCGGCTGGAACAGCACGATGGAAGCCATCGTGGGCGGGGTGCCGGTAGTGGCGTGGCCGTTGTTTGGGGATCAACATTGGGATGCGGAGCTGTTGGTCAAAGAGGGCATGGCGCTCAAGATCCCCGATACGGATCTGTTTTTTACGCGGCTGGTGACGGCGGAAGAGATCGTGCAGGTGATTCTGAAGGTGGGCGGAGCTACGGGGCGCGCCATGATGATTGAGCCGTTCCGGCGCAATGCCAAGATGGCGCGCAAGATGACGGAGATCGCGGTGCGGAAGGGCGGGAGTTCGTATGTCGCGCTACAGGAGCTGATTGTTGATATCGGGACGTATCATATTGACAGTCAACCGTCAAAATAACGTTTGTGTTTACATGCATATTTTATATGGTAGATGGTTTTTGAGACAGTATTTTTTGTGTACTATATTATGACTTTACCGGCACTTTTTGTGCAAGAAAGCGCGGTTATGGGAAATAAATGTTGCAACATTACTGTAACTGCTATTTATTTCTGCGGCAGAAACAATGCCACTTCTCCACAGACAATTCGATTTCTTTACAAGACATTTGCTGGTTGTCTGGAAACTAAATCGCTTGTCAAGAAAGTACATAATTTGCGAGAATAGTGCAAAAATCACTCCGGTCTAGCGACAGCAAAAGAACAGATGTCAAATTATTCTTGGTACCTATGGCATTAATTTTCGCAGCAATCGACAATGTTGAAGGTGCCGGTCGGTCTGTACTTCTACAGCATTAACGAGTAGGCACTTACTGTATTAGTGTAATGATGCCCAGAAGAGGAAGTACCGGCATCATTTCCTTTCATGTTGTTTATCTACAGACGAAATGTCGGCGATGAATCATTAATCAATCGTGTTTACCACTGAATTGATAATAATTACAATCCCACATAATTTTCACCGAAAACTGTTTTAACTGCATAATCAGTCCGCCAGACACCATAACAAACATGAGTAAAATTAAAACAGTTCTGTACTCACATTAATTTGTCAGTAAGTACTCGTACATTATGGTATGTACTGTTTGTAGTACGTAGTCGTATTAGTATGACGTCTCTGAATTAGCACATAGATGGGTAAACAACTCACTGAAATTCTTATGGAAAATTCTTATGTAAATATGTCTGTGTCCAACTTGTCAAACGTCAGGTCAAAAATTTCCCGTCATAATAAAAACAAAAACATAACCCCATCAAAACCACAACATTCCAGCAATCTATCACAGTCGTTCACAAAAAGACAACATTTTCGCCTTAACGAAATACGAAGTAATGAGCAAAAAAACAATTTCTCTGGCCTTTACCCAACTTCAGCAATTAGCCGCACCACTATGATCACCGATCCGTCATACTCTCGCGTTCCTGCTGCATCTTCCCGGCATCATTTTCCTCCTTGGACAACTGCCGGTGTTTCTCCTCCAGCTTCACCTGAATCTTAAACCAACACTGAAACCATGCGGTATAGAAGAGATTCTTAAACGATCGCCAAGCATCCTTCACCGGCGCGCACACTCCGCCATCGGGATGCTCCCCGCCCGTAAGGTCATGGTAGGCGGCGTCGTGGCGCATATCGCGGAAGCGCTGCTCGTAGCCGCGCACTTGAGTCTCCAGGCGGAGATTGTCCTGGGTTAGTTTCTTGAGCTTCAGCTGCTGCTGACGGAGTTTCTTCTCCTGCTCATTGGGGCCGGTCTGGGCGCTCTCATCACGGTAGCGTTTTCTGCGGGGGTCACCCAGGAGACGGTCGGCCGGGGTGGGACCGCCCGTGGGGAGGGTGATACTGCTGCCGCGGTGATTGATGGAGACACGCGGTGCCCCCTGTTTCTTTTTGTGGCTGCTTTTCGTCTGCAGGATCTGCAAATCTTCCTGCGAGTCCTCGGCGATGAGCCGCTCCAGGCTGTCATTGCGACCTTTGCGGGTGGGCGCCGGTAACGACGGCATAATGAATGGCGGTTAAAAACTGCGAGGGTGCAGTAAAACCTGAGGTGCTTCATATATATACACGCGTAAAAAAGTTTGACGTCAGCAAAAAAATTAACATTTATGGCACTCGTAGAGTACGATCGCAAAATTGTCGACTCCCGGTAAGGAACAGAATATTATAAAAAAGAAACTGAAGGAAATCCGGTATTAAAAGTAAAGTAAAACGGCCGCAGCGATAGTATTAAAACGGTCACAGTGATTTTCTGGTGACTGGCATTACCGAGACGTAAAATATGTACGTAAATAATAAGACTGGGATAAGCAAAAATGTGGAGAATACGATTCATCCAGACTGATCCAGTTGCGTTGCATAAATGCTAGGAAATAAACGAAACGCTTAACGAGTCTGGTTTACAACCATAGGCGGTTGGCAATTTCACACTCACAGTCAAACGACGCCGTGGCCATTAGGTGAGCCAGTGTAACCACACGCCCTGCGCTACTGCAGCTGCTAATTTGCCTATGTAATTAATTTCGAAACCCTTGCTGCCTTGCAGTCATCATCTCATCAAAACATACGCTAAGACCAGCAGAATGCCAGAATCCGTTCGATATTTTCAGGATAATAACCCAAATTAGTAGTTTCTCTAATCTGATATACAGACGGGTTATGTTCTTGAATTTTAACGTAAAGGAATCACCTGGATGATAATCTGTCCGTCAAGTGGCTGGTGGAGGCCTGCGTGAGTGGAGGAGACAGGAGTAACGTTGATCACATACCTAATTTGTTTCGTGATAGTGTAATTACTGACAGCAGCCAGAGCGCGCAACCCTGTGTCTGTCTGTCATCTCTTGTCACATATCGAAGATGAGCTCGTTTACAGAGGATTCATCCGCGGCTGGTCCAGCGGAATCCAGCGGGGCCCCTGATGAAGTACTGCAGAGCTTCTTCACCGAGGTATGCACATGTTACACGTTACAGGTTACTACAGATACTCGTACCTTAGCAAGTTCTTCGTTTGATGTTAGTATTTTTGACTCTTTGGCTACTAATTACGATTTCACTCATATTTGTCGTGAATTTTCATTCTTTGTGTATGTAAATAACTGGAGGCAAGTAAAGGTAGAAAATCTAGGGGAGGGTGTTTGAAACTTGCAGGTGAAAGAGATTGAGAAGCAGGACAGCAAATTAACACCCAAACAGCAGATCGATCGTCTGTGCCGTCCGGGCTCCACCTACGCCAATCTCAATCCCTTCGACGTCCTGCAGGTAACGCCCGAAACGCCCCTGGATGAGATTAAGAAGCAGTTCCGTCGATTGTCCATTTTAGTCCATCCCGATAAGAATCCCGATGATGATCGTGCGCAGAAAGCTTTCGATGGTAAAAAAATAATATTTCACCCGTTCTTCTGTTTTAATGCTTGCAGCATTGTTATATTTTTTTGTGATTTGTAAGTTATTTTAATTCATTATGTTTTTGTAAAATTTAGCGGTGGCGAAGGCTTGGAAGGTTCTGGAAATCGAAGAAGGATACAAAAAATGCATGGAAATTGTGGAAGAAGCCAAAGGCCGAACTGACCAGATGGTTGGTGCTTTTGTTATTCAAAAATTAAACAATTTTTAATTTTATCTCATTTGCCCGGTAGATTAAGGAGAAGAAGAAGAAACTGAGAAAGGAAGGCAAATCCGGTGCTGTGGAGGAGGATGATCCTGAGAAGGTAAGTTGATACGATGACTACTTATTTTACACATTCGACGCCAGTTGTGATTTACTGTGCTTATTTTGCAGTACAAACATGCCGTCTATGTGTTGACGATGAAGCTATTTGCAGATGTAAGTCGTCTAAAGCCTTTTCTGCTAAGAGGCTTGATTTTTGTGTCATCTGTGATATATGTGGTTTTTTGTTTCTTTTAGCTCGAACGAAAGCGACGAGAGCAGGAAACGAAAAACGCACACGAAAAGTACGCGTATCTGTACATAAACTGTTCGGAAAGAGTTATCATTTTAATATTTGTTTTGATATTTTTGTAGAAAAAGAAAACATCTGGAAGAGGAAGAGGCAAAGGAAAAGGAGAAGGATGATAAAGAATGGCAGAAAAATTTTGAGGTATATTGTTATTGAATTATTTACGTAAACGTACGCGAGTTAAAAGTAAACATTCTAGTTGTGACCGCTTTAGATTTGTAACAAAAATTGGCAAATTGTACAAAAGCTGTAAAATGTCAAACTCTTTTGAAAGGATGATCGTGACTATCTAAATTTGATTTTGTTTTATTTGCTTATGAATTCTGTGTTCTAAAGGTTTAATTTGTATTATTTTAGGCTTCTCGTACTCAGCGTGTGGACAGCTGGCGCACATTTCAAACCAAAAAGACCACCGGTGATACCGCTAGACCAACTAAACCGTTAGGCTATAAGCCGCCAAAGCATAAAGCCGAACAGCGTGAAGCGAAGCCGAGCTGATTACAAAAATGGGTTCTTGTATCCTGGTGGATTATGGAAAGATCACTGACCGTTTATTCGACTGGAAATGCATGTTTATTCATACGTTCTGCTGGTGAAATCTTTGTACACAAATACCGTATGCCGTCTCACTTCACATTCTATTTTCATTTAAGACTGGAAACTGAAGAGTATTGCACATTGCGTCAGATTGTTTTTGTGTCGTTGAATTCTGCCCATTTACTGCTACTGCTCTACCAAGTGCTCTGGTTTTGTTTTTTGGAATGATACTGTTTACAAAGACCAGATGCATAAACGCACTAAACGGTAAAAAATGCATGTGATGCATGCCTGCTAATAGCCTGCATCGATGTTTACGTAGTATGTACGGCGTATGCATGATGATGATACTGCATCAATCCTGCAGAACGCTTCTGTGGAAAATTAATGAATATTTGAACAGGCAAACGATTTTAAGTTCTAACCGGATATGCCTCCACTATACACAAATATCCTGTACTGCCAGCACCTGATATATTCGTACTAAAATCAATACAATATGCCGTAGAATTCGTATGCACTATGCTGCTATGCAGTTGCAAAATATTATTGTGTCTGTACTGCTGGTACACTGTAGCTGGAAAATGTGAAGTCATGCGCAAATCCCCAGTCGTTTTCGAGCCGGTGTATACGGTGATAACCTAAATTATTTAAGTACGTACGCACTTTTAACGACGTCCAAGATACTTTGGAAAAGGTTACAGAAAGCGCATTAATTTTATTGCCTTAAATCAAGTGCAGTCATCTATCAGCATCAATGCTATCTTATCTGTATTAGCTGGTCCGGCACATCTGTGGCCGATTATAATTAAGTACTACTCTACCGCCGCTTATAGTCGAAACGTTGCGCTAAATTAAACCGTTTAATAGTTGATTTCGATTATTGCCGATGCCTCTTGCAAGTGGCATGCGATCCAACGCTGAAACACCCTAACTGTAAGATGGATCGCAAAAATTTTCTCGTTATTAATGCACCGGCCATGGGTCACCTGATCCCGCTACTCGAATTTGCCCACCGCATTACCGAACACCACGATGTCACCGTGACAATCTCGAAATCCTTTGTCCCCAAACTGACAGATCGCAATATCCTGAAATACCAGAGTAATCCGCATTTTCATTTACTGCCGATTGACGATGGACTGCCGGATGATGTGGCAAAAGTGTCCAACACACCGGGACTGGAAAGAATCCTGATTGCTATGGAACTCATCCGCCCGGCAGTGGAAACACTGTTACGAGAAATGCCTGTCCGCAATGGGGAGGCGCTTCAGAATGCAGAACTGACCAGAATCGGCGCGACGAAAATGCCAGCCGTGGATGCGGTGATATTTGACCATTTTCTGGTCGGCTTCGTGCCGGAGGCCGGTCACCAGCGCGGCGTGCCGTGCTTCGAATTCGTTCCGTCTTCGGAAATTCGCAATCGCTCACAGAAGACCCACACAGAGCGACCAGACGAAAAGTCAGCCATCGGCAAATGGCTGGCGCTGAAACAGCGCGCGGAACCGTTTCTCTTTGGACGCATCGTAAATAATTTCCGGGAAAGTGTTCCACCCCGCGAGGACAATCTCCCAACATTTTATGTGGGACCACTCTTTCCCCTAGAGACGGTCCAGAAGGAATTCACTCCAGCGGAGCAAAAAGTGCAGACGTTTTTGGATGATCATCCACAGCGGTCGGTTATTTATTTTGCATTCGGGACCGTGGTCCGAGCCGCGCCCGCTCAGATAGCCGAAATCCACCACGCACTGACCGCACTGCAGCGGCCGTATATTTGGTCACTGGCCGAGCCGCTGCATCAGTATTTACCAGCGGACCGGCAGCCGGATGGCGGCGGCCACTTGATTCTGCCGTGGGTGCCGCAGAAACTGATTTTGCAGCATCCGTCTGTCGCGGTGTTTATCACGCACGCTGGATGGAACAGCGCGGTGGAAGGATTGACCTGCGGTGTCCCCATGGTGTCGTGGCCGGGATTCGCTGATCAGCATGCCAATGCCGCGTGGCAGGCCAGCATCGGCGTGGGCGTGACGGTGCCTGAGACCAAACTCGGACCGGACGCCCGCGTGGTACCGGCGAACGAGATCCAAGAGTGGATTAATAAAGCTGCTGGTTGGGATTCAACGCATGGTGTATCGCCGTTTGCGGACAAGTGTGCTCAATGGAAAGAAATTATCGGGAAAGTGTGGACAACAGGCGGAAGTTCTTTGAATGATTTCAACGCATTCTTATGCCATGTAAATAAATTAGCCACGTAGTTCACTGAAGTGAAAACAAACAGTTTTATTTCCGTATTAATTGAATGTTTAATTGTGTGTACATTTCTGTAAGTAAACCGGCAAATGTCAACTTCTTGTTCCACTGCATCTGCTCACGAAATATAACATTCTATGTCCGTATCAATTGGTAAACTGTATCTTTAAAAAAGATAATCAAGTAAACCGGCGACTTGGAAGCTTTTCGCTCGATTAAGAACGCAAAATTGACACGACCCAGTTTGTAACTTTCAAGTAGCAATACAAAATTCTAACTGCAAATAATTTTACTACACTATAACAGTTGAAACGCATCGGTTTCACAACCCGAACATCAAACCCGAAAAGATACTTAATCACAATAAAACCCGCATTTAAAAAAGCACACTTACTTACGATTTTTGCATAATATCTCAGAGAAAAATGCTAGGGGGTCTTTACAAAAAATTTCTATTCATCAGCAAAAAAACCAACGACAAGAGAAACAACAACATCTGCAAAATGTTAAACAGAAGCGAAAAAGAAAACGATACTGCTGGCATTTGGATCCATTCCAAGAGTCAGGTAGGTTAATTCAAATAATTATTAGTCAATCGAACGCTGAAAGACACAAAGATAACACATAACACTGGTCATCCTTGTCACTTTCCACATCCCAAGCACTTATTGCAGTCCTTTCAAATCTTCTCACACCAATCTCCTCCATCGAGGAAAAATAAAATATTCGCGTGAGGTCACGCGCGTTCACTAGTAACGATTGCGGCGACTGCCGCCGCTGCGTAATCGTCCCGACATAGGACGGCGCTCCATAGAACCTGCAACGAAAACCCATGTCAAGATTTAAAGCAATAAATAAAACCATTACTTTAATACAAAAACTATTCGGTTAATCGCAAACAATAAACATTACCGTCTTGCAAGCTAACATTACACAAGTACGTAAATCACAAAATTCCGCCATTAAAAAACAACCGTTTACCTGACGCACGCGGCCTGGGAGCAAAACTGCGGTGTCGCGGATCTGGTGAATCCCCGCGTGCCGTTCGCTGCAGTATGCGGTTGCGCGGATATCGCGACGGGATGGGAACCGGCAGCGGATCGCCCTCGCCCTCCGTATCCATATCCTCGTCGTCGCGTGGGCGTGTGGAGCGCGTCGTACCGCGCAGACCGTGGCGCATCACCCGCGAACTGCGGCTCGTCGTCGTCGTGCTGCGCCCCTGGCGCACCGAGCGGCGACGCTCGGCAGCGCTGCGACTGCTGGCGCTACTGCGCACCGGGCGTGAGGTTTCCTGACGGTGCAGTTGACGCGATTCCGGGCCGCGCCGCTGCTGTCGACGCATGTGAATGGAATTGATGGAATGCACGACCATTGGTTGCTGACGCTGGATTTCACGTTGGATATTGCGGTCCAGCGAGGGCGAACGCGGATCCGGAGTGTCACGGCGTCTAAGTAAAATGAAACAATCCTTTATAATATAATTCCCAAAAGCAAGAACGGTAAAAACTTAACGAAAAAGATGAACAGTAAACTATGCTTGATGTAACTCAACGTAATTCAATCAATAAATTATGTTGACAAAGATTAAACGGAAAATCCCAACTTAATAAATCATTCGTCATTTTCAACCACAAAATTCCAGAAACTATTGCGCCGCTACTAAGCGCCTAATAAGATGTAAATTTAGAGTGAAGTGAACCGCATTCCGCCCTTACCGGGATGACTGCGCTCGCGCTCGCGAATCCTCGCTCACATCCATGTGGTCATCGCTGGTTTCTATCTCGCGATCCCAGTGATCTCGGAACTCTGTAGCATCCGTATCGGTCTCTGACGACAGCCCGTTCATCTCCCGATCGGAATCTCCGGTCCCGTTGGTGGCCCGTGTGGAATCAATGGTCCGCCCTCCGTTGGTCGACACACTGATCTCATCATCTGATACCACAATCAGCTCCACATTCCCCACGTTGCGTCGGCGACGCGGATCCCGCAGCACCACATTGACCACCTGCACTTCTTCATCCGACTCCGTTCGCTGCCGATGAGCCGGATCATACAACGTCCCGTCGACTGAGTAATAACACCGACTTTGGTCCCACACACCCATGTCCACGCGGCGGTTGATAAAGTGTAACATCTGCAAAACACAGAACTTCAACACTGACTACAACGACAACTTTCAACATTACGTACTTCGCCATGACATGTTAAAAAATCCCACACGTAAACCGCGTCAATTTAAACAATCGCACTGTGATAAATGTGAAATTAGAGTTAACTATTAAGAGTAGCAAAACTACATATACAGCTAGCAAAACATTAAGTACTTCTACTACAATTACTGCATTATACCGGTAACAGAATTACGAAAATTAGGAAAATAAGTGTTGTAACCGAGATCAAGAAAAACCCTTGTGAATAAAATGTAAGAAAATAAACTATTTAAGCACACAGCGCGAAAGTGGTACGAGCAATATTAGAATTTATGCTATAAGAAATTTATATGAACTAACAGTAAGAATATCCGCTACATGCTATCAAAAATTTAAGTGAATACTTTGTACAGTAAATGCAAACACTGTATGGTTGTAATATCCATATACCTCTCTCCAGAAAATCCCTTCTCGTCCATCACGCAGCCATTGTTGACAGGACGTCGCAAAAGCTTCATAAGTCGTCGGCTGACTGGTCTGATGTGCGATCACCGCAAACACATGTTCCCGCATAGTATTCGACGCTTCTGGCAGTGTCGC